CATACATACATACATACATACATACATACATACATACATTACGTACATACATACATACATACATTACATACATACATACATACATACATACATACATACATACATACATACATACATACATACATACATACATACATACATACATACATACATACATACATGCATTAAATACATACATACATACATACATACATACATACATACATACATACATACATACATACATACATACATACATACATTACATTACATTACATTACATTACATTACATTCATTCATTCATACATACATACATACATACATACATACATACATACATACATACATACATACATACATACATACATACATACATACATTACATACATACATACATACATACATACATACATAACTTACATACATACATACATACATACATACATACATACATACATACATACATACATACATACATTACATACATACATCCATTACATACATACATACATACATACATACATACATACATACATACATACATACATACATACATTACATACATACATACATACATACATACATACATACATACATACATACATACATACATACATACATATCATACATACATACATACATACATACATACATACATACATACATACATACATACATACATACATACATACATACATACCATACATACCATACATACCATACATACATTACATTACATACATACATACATACATACATACATACATACATACATACATACATTACATACATTACATACATACATACATACATACATACATACATACATACATACATACATACATACATACATACATACATACATACATACATACATACATACATTACATCATACATACATACATACATACATACATACATACATACATACATACATACATACATACATACATACATACATACATACATACATATATTACATACATACATACATACATACATACATACATACATACATACATACATACATACATACATACATACATTACATTACATACATACATACATTAATTACATACATACATACATACATACATACATACATACATACATACATACATACATACATACATACATACATACATACATACATACATACATACATACATACATACATACATACATACATACATACATACATATCATACATACATACACATACATTACATACATACATACATACATACATACATACATACATACATACATACATACATACATACATACATACATACATACATACATACATACATACATACATACATACATACATACATACATACATACATACATACATACATACATACATACATACATTACATACATACATACATACATACATACATACATACATAACATACATACATACATACATACATACATACATACATACATACATACATACATACATACATACATACATACATACATACATACATACATACATTCATGCATACATACATACATACATACATACATACATACATACATACATACATACATACATACATACATACATACATACATACATACATACATACATACATACATACACATTACATACATACATACATACATACATACATACATACATACATACATACATACATACATACATACATACATACATACATACATACATACATACATACATACATACATACATACATTACATACATACATACATACATACATACATACATACATACATACATACATACATACATACATACATACATACATACATACATACATACATACATACATACATACATACATACATACATACATACATACATTACATACATACATACATACATACATACATACATACATACATACATACATACATACATACATACATACATACATACATACATACATACATACATTACATACATACATACATACATACATACATACATACATACATACATACATACATACATACATACATACATACATACATACATACATACATACATACATACATACATACATACATACATACATACATACATACATACATACATACATACATACATACATACATACATACATACATACATACATACATACATACATACATACATACATACATACATACATACATACATACATACATTACATACATACATACATACATACATACATACATACATACATACATACATACATACATACATACATACATACATACATACATACATACATTACATACATACATACATACATACATACATACATACATACATACATACATACATACATACATACATACATACATACATACATACATACATACATACATACATACATACATACATACATACATACATACATACATACATACATACATACATACATACATTACATACATACATACATACATACATACATACATACATACATACATACATACATACATACATACATACATACATACATACATACATACATACATACATACATACATACATACATACTTACATACACATTTACATACATACATACATACATACATACATACATACATACATACATACATACATACATACATACATACATACATACATACATACATACATACATACATACATACATACATACATACATACATACATACATACATACATACATACATTACATTACATACATACATACATACATACATACATACATACATACATACATACATACATACATACATACATACATACATACATACATACATACATACATACATACATACATACATACATACATACATACATACATACATACATACATACATACATACATACATACATACATACATACATACATACATACATACATACATACATACATATACATACATACATACATACATACATACATACATACATACATACATACATACATACATACATACATACATACATACATACATACATACATACATACATACATACATACATACATACATACATACATACATACATACATACATACATACATACATACATACATACATACATACATACATACATACATACATACATACATACATACATACATACATACATACATACATACATACATACATACATACATACATACATACATACATACATACATACATACATACATACATACATACATACATACATACCATACATTACATTACATTACATTACATACATACATACATACATACATACATACATACATACATACATACATACATTACATACATTACATTACATTACATACATACATACATACATACATTACATACATACATACATACATACATACATACATACATACATACATACATACATACATACATACATACATACATACATACATACATACATACATACATACATACATACATACATACACATACATACATACATACATACATACATACATACATACATACATACATACATACATTACATACATACATACATACATACATACATACATACATACATACATACATACATACATACATACATACATACATACATACATACATACATACATACATACATACATACATACATACATACATACATACACATACATACATACATACATACATACATACATACATACATACATACATACATACATACATACATACATACATACATACATACATACATACATACATACATACATACATACATACATACATACATACATACATACATACATACATACATACATACATACATACATACATACATACATACATACATACATACATACATACATTACATACATACATACATACATACATACATACATACATACATACATACATACATACATACATACATACATACATACATACATACATACATACATACATACATACATACATACATACATTACATACATACATACATACATACATACATACATACATTACATACATACATACATACATACATACATTACATACATGCATACATACATACATACATTACATACATGCATACATACATGTGAATATATATATATATATATCTATATAGGGGGTACCATATATATATACCCAGGCGATTGAGCATCTTGAGTCCACCGGCTCTCCTTCCAGGCTCACGTGGCATGCGCCCAAATATGTGCGGGCTGCTTCAACTCATCTGGTTTGGTGCTTTGGCCAAAAAATAGTTATTTTCATTTTTAGTGTTTCTATGAAAAAAACGTGTTTTGTTTAATATATTTTATTTTGTATTCTTGTTTTTTAATAGTAATAGTAAGGGTCCAAAGAGCCTGAGGCCAAAATTGAAGGCACCCATGATAACCCAGAAACCCAAACCCATCTAACAACCCTAACTCCATTCCTCGAGAAAAAAAAAAGCTGGGCGCACCGAGATCGGAGATGTTTCTTCGGGCGCTACGCGCTCGCCGGAGGCTCATGGCCATCGCTTCAAAAGCCCCGCGTCAAAAGCTTTCAAATTGAGTGGAGCCTTGTAGGCCCATCCCAAAGCGTGTGACTCCGTGGTAGTGGTTAGACAATGTGATCCCTGGACGGTATTACATGTTTCTCCGAGCCTGCCATTGGAAATTGGGTGGGCTCGAGTCTTGTGGGATCCTTCGATGTTTGTTTTGTTGGCGGGCGGGGTGGCCCAGTCATGTCCTCAAACCAACAGATCTAACTCGTTTCTCGGATCGCATGGACATATATTTGGTCCACCAAGAGTTTCAGGCGCCGGATGTGACTCCTAGGGATCTATGCTTGGGATGGCTCAAAAGGAAGACCAAAAAGGAAACCAAAAGGGAAACCAAAAACCTGCGTTCCAAACTCTGAGTAATGCCCAGCAAATTCTTCAGGGACCGGGTCCGGGTGTTGGGAATGAGCCTAGGGACTCTCTTACAGGAAACCACCAGTTGCATGGTTTATTGGGGGGGTCATTCCATTTCTGATTCCCCTATCAAACCAGCAAGAAGAATTCCCTGCCTTGGGGGCGCTGTCCTCCTCATGCTTCATGAGAAGCCACACATCGAAGGGCCTGGGATCTGGGATTTTCCGTACCCAACGCTTTGGAGACCTTGGAGGTATGGGCATAGATGGGCTCAAGTCGCGCCCCTGGTGATTGGATCCGATTTTGCTCGATTCATATGTGGAAGACCTTTTCGTCCAATCCAATCCCTGCTCAGCCGTCGCCAAGCCACCCAGAAAAAAGGAAGAAAAAAAGACATCCGGATGTCGGCGGAACAACTCAAGCCCATGGTGTCCACTTGGAGCATTTTTGTTGATGTTTGTGCGGCCTTCGCCCAAGACTGGCACTCCAAATCTATGGAACTACTCTTGTGAATAGTGGAGCTTGCGAGCGCTCCACCTCGCATGGGATGCCGCTGCAGTAACCTTTGTGGTCGTTTTCAGTCCTCACGGCCCAGTGTTGCATGGATCGGTCACATTTTCTTAAGAGCCCTCATTGCAAAGGTCTTCTGGGTAATGCACAAGGCACGGGAACTGGTGGGGGCATGTCTTTGGAGAATCACCCTTTCTGCTGCAAGGTGTTTAAATTGCCCCCCACTTCAGCTGACATTTGGCTGTGGCTGTACCCCTGATAACATCAAAATAGGTGGCACATGAGCCATAGGTTATGCCCCGTGGACATATGTCATTCGGGTTGGGCCATTGGCTGCCTGTCAAATCTTGACCCGGCTCACTCGGCACCCGGGCATGCAGGGCATGTGCCTGGGCTGCGAGTCACGCGCGAAGGGCTCGCTGGGAAAATGAAGAGGGGTCGGAAGCTCAGATGGGTGTGGCTCAATTTTTCCCCAATAGTTGAAAGCTTTGGGGTCTCAGCCCAGTAGGCTCCGGGGTGGTCCGGGGCGGCCCTGCCGTAAGGTTCCACGAGGGGGTCCAGGGTTCCACGAGGTTCTGCGAGGGCTGCGGGGTGGTGCGAGCACTAAAAAGAGCACTACATGCTGTTGGGGATATCACCTGAGCTTATTTAACAGGAGGGTTACGTACGCAGGTTTTGGCCCATGTTTCCACTTACCAGGGTTCCATTTTGGTACCGGTTTTTTGAGCCACAGCCAAATGACGGCGCAGGGTGTGTCCCCCTCCCAAGCTCATCATGAGACGAAAACCAAACTTCGTGACGCACCGGATTGCCTTCACGCCGCTCACGGTGGATACTGAGTCAATACGGCCGAACCGGAGCCAGCGCCATCTTCTCAAGAAGCCATCCAAAAAAGTGTGGCTGTGTGTTGGAAACAAAAAACTGGAGACATGAAAGCAGTTGGTGTCCAGATCCCCTGCAATCACTCCTTTTGGTTGGTTTCCAATTTCCCTGGCATGCTTTAAAGCATGGCCCCACATGTACAGTGAACCTGACACTGCAATATGGTGCCATTCAACACATCCCAGTTTGGAGGAGACCCCCCATCCGTTTCCCTGTTATCATCAAGCTTCCCTTTTGGAACAAGCACCCCCATCTAAACATATTAAACACTCCAATTCACAAGCCCAAAAATCAAGAATCTGTAAATAAGGAACCTACGTCATGCAGCCCCCGAATAGGCAAGCTCCTCAAGAAGAAAGCGGGCAGACCCCCATACTGCCGAAAGACCCTGACCGTCGCGGTTTCCCTCTCCTCAAGGTTCCCTTGGGTTGAAACCAGGCCCAAAAAAGACAAGCCGAGAGGCCGGAAGGCAGCGTTCCGGATCTGGCGCTTGGTCTCCTGGTCCTTCTTCAGCACCAGCCAAAGCTCGGCGAGGACGCGAATTGGTGCTCAAGCCGCCTTTTCCAAAAATGGCTCACCCTTTTGGATTGTCGTTTTGGCGGTCGCCAAGTCTTTTGTTGAGAAGAGGGCCATATTTGTGCAAACCCCAGTAAACCCCAAAGGTGATACAGGACAAGGAGCTAAAACGGAACCTGCGAGAGAAACCAAGGACGGCTTTCTGCGTTACCCTCAGCGAAGCCGACCAATGGCGCTACACACAAGGACGCCAATTCAGAATTGGGTCGGACTTGCACGGAAACAACAGACTACGGCAAGGCTTGTAGGGACTTCAGAAAAGTGCCAGCGAGGCAACCTGACACATGCTGTTTAGAACCTTAGCTCTAGACTTGCAGCTGGCGTATGTCCAACCCTATTATCTTTGCATCCGCAGTAGAAACTCAGGAAACTCTTTGGAATCTTTTGCACAATCCGTCCTATCAAACACCTCATGACTCAAGACAGAATGAATCTTGGCTGAGCACACTTCGAGCTAGCGCCGAACTGGTCAAGCTCAGAGCCGAATGTCGAGCAAAGAAACAGCTCAAGGATTGGCATCTTGGCTGGGCAGTGAAGTGATTCTTCGCTGATGAGGATTCTCCGAAATAACTACTCAACACCCAGCAAAGTTCATCCGTCCTCTTTTGACCGTCCCATGAGTGTGTGTGTGTGTATCCATATATATATATATATGTATGCTCAGACCCCCTCCCAATACCAAGGCTTGTTGTTGTTGTTTTATTTGACTTGTGGGGCAAATGATGGATGCTTTGCAGGGCAGACGCAGAGGTGACTTCCAGCCACCAATTGGACAGTTTATGAACTCATTGCTGTTGTTTTTTGTGAATAGTACCACAGCAACATATACAAGGGGTGGCCACGTTTGGCCCAAGTCACAAGTTCTCCAACCCAGCCTAGGCGTTGCTGCGATTCGTATTCCGAACTCTTGCACCAGCGTTGCAGGACAGCACAACCATTCCTGTTGGGACACAAAGCTGTTTCCGTGCGATTCTCACTTCTGCCTCTAAAATCAGAGGTTTTGCGTAGTTGGTGTGTAGAAAGGTAGGTGGGGGTGGATGGCCGCTAGTTGGAAAGAGTCATATCTACTCTGCGCTTCTCTTTTTCCACATGACTGAAAGCGCTGCAGCATAAGGTGTTGTTGATGATTTGTCACCTTCTTTACGGTAGCAGGTGTTTCGTCTTTTGAGGATTGAAAAAGGCAATAAGTCCAAGACGGCTTCTGTGTTCGGCTTCAAGCATGGTTTTGATTGAACACTTTGATGTTTACACTGGTTTCGAGCACACGTAGTAAAGCAACACAATCTGTTTTTCGCAGCTTGAGCCCCATAAAATGCCATGACCGTACCAATCATTTGGCCATACATTGCACACCAAGCAACACCCCCAAATCCATGTCCAATTGATTCTCAAATGGTTGCTATACCAAGTATGTTGACCCAACCTCATTTGAGCACGTTTGGTGAAATCCTGCCTTCATGGTTGTGTAAACCAAACCAACATTTCTGAAATGCCAAAGTGGGCCACCCGCTTCGTCACATTTTACTGGGGTTTGAACCTGGGCCTACGCCCCTTCTCAGGCCCAAAAAGAACAAAACAAACAGAAAATCCGGACCGACAAGGTCCATAGCGCAAACAAAAGAATAATGAATAGCAGTGCAAAACCTTGTCATTAATAGATTCTATTTAACATTTCCATTGACATTCAATTAAAGCCATTTTAAACCTAAGTTCTGTTTGGACTGGTTTCGTCATGAAAACAAATACCACTATTGTTTAAGCCGCATTTAATCTAAATGCATTTGGGAATGAGTTCTTATTTGAAATGATGTTCAGAGGCCAATTGAATTATTGCCTTTAACTCCGATTTGGAAAGGAATTCCTATTTAGATTCTAACGGAATATAGATTTTCACGTGAACTATGTCCTTGCCCCATTCTATTCAAAATGTCAATTCAATTTGAAGTAATATCTTATTTGCAAAGGAAATCACATTTGATGTTCGGAGGTTCAGATCTCCGGATTCTAGATTTCAGGTGCTCCAAATAAAATCGCGTTCACCTGGATCGAAGGCTTGAATATCCCAAACAAAAATTATCATTTGCCACGCAGCAAGCCAACACAGGGTTTATAAACCCAACACTGGGTTTATAAACTTTACGGGGCCAGTTTTTAAATCTTCTCAGTGGCAACTCTTCTGGCCCCCCTCCCTTCCCCAGACTTGCCACCCCCCCTCCCCCCCCAAGAGTCCGCAAAGAGGTGCCACGCCGCCCCCCCCTTCCCCCCCCCCTCTCCCCCCCCCCTCCAAGAGAAAAGTTGCCACTGTCCCTTCAACAGTCAAGAGTTTATAAACTAAACTTGGAAATGTATAACTTTCAACACTGAATTATTGCTAATCAGTCTATACTCATCTATACTCATCTCATAATATGGTGTCCTCGCAAGATATTCGCAAGATGTACATGTATTACCACAGATATCAAACACATGTTCTCATCTGTAGCATCAACTACAGGTGTTCCTCAAAAAACGACTTTCTATGCAAAAAATCTGCAACACGTACATGTTTAAGCCGGAAAACCTTGGTATTGGAGGGGGTCATACCATATAGATATATATATATATATATATTATATTCGTAGCTGTCCTTCATGCCTTCATGTTGCTTTTGACAGACCCGCAGTTCTTCTGAGCCGGTTGCTTGCTCAGGCCAGAAACACATGCAGGGCCTATGTTAAACGCAGCGTGCGGAAACGCGTCACAGGTGTTTTCAACTGCAGCTCTTTGGGCGACAAAACAGCAAGTTCCCTGCGGGAACTGGGCGGGGTGTTGAACCCAAATATCAATTCCTCGGTTGCAATGCAAATCTTTTGTGCCAGTCTTACGGACTTCGCTTCGAAGATCAATCCAAGCAGCTGACGTCAGTCACGAGATGCAAGTGCCCCGGGCTGCTTCCGAAGCTTCCCCGTGAAACGGACAGCTCGGTGAAGTCAAAGGGATTGGTTCATGCTTGCTACCAAGTCTGGCGCAGCGGGGAGGGGGCCTAAGCGAGCCAAGCCTCATTCACAGTCCGTCTCTTGAAACATTCCCAAAAGAAAACCAAACACTCCCTGAATGTGGACTCAAAATGGCGAAGCCATACCAACACGAGTTGTTCACAACTGTCCAACTGAAATGGGTAAATTCGTTGGACCTCTGTTTTCCCGGCAGCCACCATGGCCCTCGCGTGGCTGGGTGCCGAGTGCTTGGGCCCGCACTGGTCGCTTGTTGCGGGCGAGCACGGCCGCAGCTGGCGCAGTGTCTTGTATCCATCCTGCCAATCAAAGCGCTAGGCCATCCGGCAACCTCCAAACCAGCATAGAAACATAGCATGCGAGCACCTTTGCCAAGATACAATTGCAAGTGGGCAGGTCCTATGGAGTCATGCCTATGCAACCTGTAGTGACAGTGAGGCAAAACAAAAACGAAAAACGAAGAAATCCCATTCCCTCTCGCTCCAATCTCCAAGGTTTGCTGTGAGGTGGACCCAGGATTACTAAACGCTCGGTTGATTCGTTGGGCGGCGCGAGCAACTGACAATCAAGTCATCAAGTCCTAGTCTCGTGTCATCTTTTGGGGAGGACATGGGGGACCCACTCAATTCCATTCTGCCACGTCGGCTGGACCCCCTATGAACACATGATCTGCATTTCATAACAAGCCCTCCTTTGTCAAGCTCACTGGACAACTCCCAAACAGACCAGCAGTTCTTACACTGCGCCCGTGGCCAATATTCTCCGAACGCAAAAACAACCACAACCCACAAAACAAGAGAGAGGAAAAAAAAGACATCAAACAAAAAAAAAACACCTCTCTCCCTCCCTCTTTTGCGGCAGAACTTCCTCCATCCATCTCTCCCCCTTCGGGTTTCATCTCCCGGGTGAACCCCAGGGGTTTGATTGAGGGAAATTGATCAAAAAATGGTCCAACAAGATGCGTCAGGTCAAACTTCCATGACCCTGCGGCATTCCATTTTTGGACTCCCCTCCCCCCGAAGAGAACCCCCCCCTGCCGCGACCCCCCGCGGGTCCGTTGGCCATCCGGCGGTGCCGCGCCGCGAAGGAGGCGCTCCGCAGCCGCGCGCCCCGGGCGCCTGACGTCGGTGACGATCGGTGGTCGCGCGCGCGCGCGACGTGGGCGGTTTGGGCGGTGGAGCCCTTGGGTGGAGCCTTCGCTTGGGTTCGAAATGGGTGGCTTCAAAGGCTTGCTTCAAGGCAATTTCCTGAGTGGGGTGGCTTTCAGTTTAAGGCACCCTCCTGAAATTGAGTAGTTTCAGTTTCAGGACCGATCTGAAGGAAGCTGCAGGCAAGCCTGCTTTCGGCGGATTTCGAAGGCAAACCGGATGGAAAGCCAGTAATATGGTAGAGGGCGGCCCACTTTTGAGACATGCCCTAAATGTTGCAAGCGAACCAGCCGAACAAATTGATGTCGGGAAAGCTGCTCCCTTGCGGGAATCTAAGGCGTGGCGTGGCGGCACATAGCTCAACCTCCAAATAGGCTAGAGCGCTAAAGCCGGGTGGTTCTCCTTTGGAAGCCCTGCAAGAGACGGCGACATGAAAGCCAAGCGAGAGGCGTAACGAAGTCGGAGAAGCCATGAAACCCAGGAGATGAACACACTCCTCTCATTATCTCCTTTTCAGGCCCAAAAGGCTGCAAGAAAGGACAGCAAAGGGCAGCCATGTTTTGCATTCAAAACGTAGGAACAAACAGCCTAGTGGCTTGTAAAGACTGGGGAATTCGGTGGAGCCCGCTGTGAGAACCTTCCTACCCGCTTAGGCACTTTGCCGGTGGATGTCCAACGACGCAAATCGCCAACACCCATGCCACAAGACCCTGGCGTAGTTCGCACCAGCCGCAAGAACGATGTTCAGAGGCGGCAAAGCTCGGTGCTCACATGAAACCATCTGGAAGGGGCGGCCCAAGTGTTACGGGGATCCCTGAAGGCAAACCCTCTCGTAACCTCGAAACTGAACACCTCCGCCCTTTCTCCCAGCGCGCAACACCAGAGTAGAGATGGGCTCGAAGTTTGAAACTGCGGCCCTCGCAGACTCATCTGTTGAGGGCACCCTTTTTAGGGCTGAGGGAAAGCAAACAGAACTTTGGGGGGCCAACCAACTTGGAGATCCACTCCTTTGTTTGTTCTTCGGGTCGCTTCAAATTTCGAGCCAGCCGGGCATCGCTTGGCGGGGCCCACCAGTTCAGCCAGCCGTCGCGGGCTGCACATTTACCCATGCGATTTCAACGCCTGACTGGAGCCAATCACAGAGTCACTTTTTGCTGGCACGGGAAAATGCGGCCCAAAAACATCAGCCGGCTGTAGTTCATTGACCGTCTCACGCCAGCAAAGAACGCGGACGTGTGGCGTGGCAGTCTGCCTCGGGAAGTGACACCAGGGCGATGTGTAGCTGGACGTCAATGGATTTGCCGCAAACATCAAGCACCAACACAGCCCACGCAGCACTGGTGTGCTTTGTCGAGCCCTCCAACACTTCAAGAACATCATTAGCGCTTGAAAACTCAACACATGACAATGCCATGGCTACAAGGAAAGAACAACTACGCAAACGTACGCAATGCTATGCCAAGAATCTGCACAAGTTGCTGTGTGGGTCTGTGTCACCATACACATCACAAAGTACGAAGAACGCAAACCTTGCCTTTACAGCGTTTTGCGACCCCATCCTGTTTTGGAAGATGATTCTACCTTTCCTCACAAAAATATGTTGTTCTCTAAGGCCACTGGGTGTTTGAAAGTGAACAGCAGTTCAATGGCTTCTCAAAAGGTTCATTTGGGGTGCCGATGGGTTTATCTTGAATCACCCTAGTGGTCGCTGTCCTCTTCTTTCTTTGAGGACTTCCATTTGGTGAAGACCAAAGGACAAACAAAATCCAGTAGTGATAGATTGCCTTTAAAACCCACTGGGGGAAACTGAAAAAGAATCATTCAGCAAATGCAAAAGGATGTCGACCCCCGGGCCTTCCGGCCTTCAAGCCGGGCGTCTCTCACATGGCGAGGCCCAGCAAAGGCAGCGCCGCCAGCGCCGTCGACGAGGATCTCGCGCCGGAGCTGAGCCCGGAGCCGTCCGGCGTACCGCAGCCGGCGGCCCCGGTGTACCACGTCATGCAGCCTGGCGCCAGTCGTCGATTTTCAAGTCGATTTTCGCGCCAGGGAGAGGGGTGGACCTCGTTGGTTTGAAAAACTGGGAACCATGGGTCAAAATCCCTTTTCTCCCTGGGTTAAACCATGGCCATGGGTCAAAATCCAAAAATCGTACCCCCAGTGAACATCCGATTCAATCCCCACTAAAATGGGTTCTAAAATGGGTGGTGAATTCAGTTCTCTTAAGATGGTACCATTGGTGTTGACCCACAGCCACATGTTTAAACCGCCCCTTTAAACAATGTCCTGGGTTTCCCTTTCAAGGGGAGGGGCGTGTTTGACCCAATTTTGCCCAGCCCTGAGAGAAACCGTCTGGACGTCTGGCGTGTTGCCGAGGCATGCAAAAAAGTACGGACAAAAGTAGGGCTAGAAGGGCTGGGCTAGGAAGGGGCTAGGAAGGGCTAGGAAGGGCTAGGAAGGGCTAGGAAGGGCTAGGGCCCCAAAGCAACGCCTCCACCACCTCACGTACCCCGGTGAGACGTCCGAAGACGCTTACGCCGGCCTCCCTCGCAGTAGTACATGGTCTTCACGTCCCCGCTCTCGCAGCGCTTCAGGATCTGGCCATCGCAATAATCTCCGGTCGTCCTTGGCATGTCTCAAAGGGAGACCCTCTTTGGATGGTAAAGAAAAGCAAACCAACCACCTGGGGATCTTTACAATTTGAAATCCCTCATCCTGGTTGGACTGAATGAGGCTGAAATGAAGTCGCATCTGCGAACAGAGGGCAATCATCTCATGGACGCACCTCATCCGTGCATGCTCATCCGTGCATGCCTGATGGTGTGTAGCTTTACAAAAACTTTGCCTTCAGCCCTACTCAACTTTGTGTCAGCGCATTTGGCTGGTCAAAAATGCGTACCCAAAATGGCTTGCCCTGGTAAATGGCAACATGGACTATGCGGTCCAATTCCTGGTTTCACATTGACCCATGGCCACTTCAACAGCTCAAACCCAATGATTGACTGGCTTCGCTGCTGTTCAACGGCCTCGCAGCTGAAAGCTTGAGCCTCTACCACGAAGGCTGGCGTGGGCAATCAAACTACCCTGGCATAAATTTCGTAGCATGCGCCATGTTTGCTTGATTTGATAATTTAATGTGAACGTCGGATTCGTTCGGAGGGCCCTACTAGTCCAAGGAATCCCCTAACATAGATAATTCCCTTGCAAGAAAGGGGTGGGTTCCCCTCCCCAGATTCATCCAAAGTTGACATTCTTTAATAGGGGAGTGGTCCCCTTCAACGGACGGCAGGATGTCACTTTGGGCCTCACTACGCTGCCCATTCCGCTTCTGCCGAGGTTCTTCGCCACGCAAAAGTTTGCGGTGCCGCACTCCCCACTTTGGAACCGATCTTCGCAAACGCCGCCGCAATATAGCAGGTCCTGACAGCTGACAGGGAACCTCTCCACCCAGCTGGGAAAGCTACGAATGGAATCCCTGAAACGGGTATACGTCTTTGTTGAAGGGGAACCCCTGTTCGTTTGGTTGCAAAAGGAAACCAACAAACAAAAAGTGAAAGCCCTCCCCTTCTCGTGGTGGGAAGCCCAGAACCAGTGACGTGAAATTCTCCGGTTCAAGCTGAATCAAGGGAAATGTCGCAAATGTAGCAGACTTTGTTGTGGTCTCTATGAGCAGTTCCGATGATATTCGGGGGAGATTTGAACCGGCCCAACTTTGATCCACTTTGATGGCCCGGCTAGGTCTGACCATGTCCGAGTAACAGTTGAGTAGCATTGCGTTACTCCATACCTTGGTTGACGTTGGAAGGGGAGCAAAAAATTAAATATTAACAGTTCTGTCGGGATTTCCCACTAAACCACAACAAGCCAAAATGTAAAAAAAAAAAAAATAACCAAAAAAAAAAAAACAACCAGGATGCCATCACCCTAATGTCTCAAAATGTAAAACGACTGGGCATGTCAAAGGCACCGATCTGCTTTGGATCGTGGCCGGCTGCTGGATGATGTGCGTGTCTCCGTTTCTTTCCAGAAAACACATAAATCAAAGCGTTGATCAGCATGAGCAACCACGTGTCGTTTCATCCTGTTACTTCGTCCTCAAACACGCATGTAAAAAGTGTGCTCTTGCCCAACGCCTTTGCTCATGCCTAGGAAGCTGCAGGGCCTTCCCCGAATCACTGAATCCCGCGCCGGAGAAAGCTTCACCCGAGCCAAAAAATCGTCTGTCAAACCCGAAAAGCTTCTGCACCTCTGTCTGTGGCTCACTTCACAGGCTGAACCGAGCAAATGTTGGACCCGCATCCCATCGAGATGACCTTCCCCAACCAAAACTCCAGAACTTGGCAGGTGGACTATTTCTCTTCAAGGCGCTGTTTGGAGGTTGTCGGCACATGTCTTCAGGTAGCCCGCGTCGCAGAACCTCGGACCCCGGAAAGTCGTCAAGAAAAAAGTCCTTTCGCAAAGTGCTGGCTCGTCCAGCCACAAACTTTGGCAAGCTCTGGTCTGATCGGCAGCCGACTTGTTGGCCCAAATGCAACTTACAAGAAATGACAAACCAGAGGTCCCAAATATTCTGCTTTTCCTTTGGGATTCTGTTTAAGCTAACCCCCAAAGGCCTGAAACAGTCCAAGAGAAAAGTCGACGCACACCCAGATTTTCGGCGCCCATGGCAAGCAAAGCACCGGCCATCCTGCTTCGCGCGGCAGAAATTCGCGTCCCCACAGCTGGCAACGTTGAGGCCCTCCTGGCTGGAAGGAGCCGACCGTATTTCCGCGGTGGGTGGGCAAGAAAAACACTTGAAAGGTCAGGGTGTCCCAGATGTCTCCTCAAAACATTGCTAAGGGAAACTCATATTTAGTTCGAGGTGTGCCGGCCTTTTTCCAGCCCCGGGATTTTTCCAGCCCCGGCTCAGCAAGGCCTTCCCTGTGCCTCTAAACAGGTTGGCTGAGGTTGAGGGCAAGTGGCGAGTGGTTGGCCAGGCCAGGGGTCGCGTTTGGTTGGCCGCATCGTCATCGCCTGCCTGGCTCACCTGTTGGCTTTGATTTGGCGGTTGAGAGTTGGCTGGTTTCGGGTTTTGGGCTTAATGGAGACAGGTTTCGGGTTTGTTTGGGGTTCATTTCGGCTCGGCAAAGGGCTGATATGCAGGATGCTGGTGGATGGTTGTAAGGTTGACTTTGAGTCGGTTTGGGTTGGTACCCAACCAAACCAAACCCAACCCAACCCAACCCAACCAAAACCAACCTAGTACTCCCTCCAACATCATGAGAGCTGTAAGACAGGTCTTCGACCATTCTTCGGGGAACCCCCCGGGAACCCACTTCCATTGAACGGGTATGCAGCACCCCTAAGATCGGACTTTTGGGGGGCTTCTTGGGAAAAATAGGGGGCTGCGTCACTGATAGCAATTTGTTTTGCGCGCGGAATGGTACAGCCTTGCTTGCGCGCATTCTTGGTTGCCTTTCAGCTCATAATTGTCTTATACATAGTTGGCTCTCTTCAAGGACTCTAACACTTCATGACTTTCTGGAGAATCCGGTTGGATGCGGGACGCATGAAAGGCCAGCAGAAGGCCGAGTGTTGAGGCACATCGATACCTTACGCTTGCGACTAGGACTCTTGGGAGACATTGTGCACTGCACAAAGTTGCCCGTGAGCTGGTCACGCAAGCTACAGTGGGAAAGTCTTGCCAGTTGCGCCCATACAAAATACAACCTATGGAGTCAGCCCGCCTGCCAAGCGTGCTTAGAAGCACCCAAAAGCAAAGGTGCGGAATGCATGAGTTGGCTACGCTCAGTATTGCAAAAATCCTCGGAACCAGGCCGCCAACTTCGGTTACGGAACACCCCCCATAAGGGGACGGGTTCTACTTAGATCCTGGGTCCACATTCGACCGACCCCGCCCTCGCGAAGCATCGATTTCGCCTGGCAGGAGGTACCTCGGCACACCGCGACCACGTCGTCGCTGGGGCAGGACTTCACCACGTCGCCGTCGCAGTGGCTGCCGCTCAGCTTCCTCAGCTCTCGCAAGCAGCGCTCTTCAAGGCCCCGGGCTGACGTGATGGAAAGGGAAGCATCCAAACAGTGAACCCTGCGTGGTGTCCCTGGCTTGGGCGTTTCTCCTAAGCTTCAAACACACGACACCAAACAAGCAATCATGTTGTCAAGCATCAGCCGCATAGATGTGTATATATATAGATAATATATATATATATATATGGTCACCCCCCCCAGGGCCTACCTTTCCTCTCTTCTAGTTGAAGGTGTCAAGTCTACTCCGTGATATATATATATATAGGGATGTTCATCAGATGTTCTACGCAAAAGCGCCACGGAAACTAATTCTTCACAACAAGGGGGGTGTCGGTGTCCTGGTACAGAAATAGTTGAAAGATCCGATTTCATTCCAAAAGGCTTCAAGGGGAGCAAAAGGAAACCATTTAGGGCGTGGCCAAAAAAAACGGGGACCCCTAAAAGGAGGTTTATCGTAGTTTGTTTTGCTTGTCGTAGTTGTGTGCCCCCTGCCTCTAGGAAATCATCTAAACGGGTCTCAAACTAACTAAAACTTCTTTGGAAGCTTCAAAACAGAACTTTTTCAACCCCCACATACCCCCCCCCCCCACCCTTTTTGCTTGAGGTCACCCACCACACACCTTCCATTGGCTTCCCTCGGTTCGCTCTTTTTTGTGAACTGGATACCACGTGCTTGCCCAAGGAAAAACGACTTTGAACCGGAGGCGCGTGTTGCAGAAGTTGAAAGTGCCGCAGCTGGCCTTTTGCAGCTGCTCGCTGCAGCCGGCAGTCCGGCAGTCCTGACGGCTTCGAAAATCTGAGTATGGGCCGCCTTTCTCAAGTACCCATCAACAAACTGCGGTTGTTCAAAAATATGTACCCAAACTGGAATCCAGGTAAATGGACACATGAACCAAAACCTGGGGTCCCCTGGTGATTTAACTTGGACCTACCCAAAAAATGGGTTTCCGAGTGGCTTCCCTAGGTTCACTTCAACTCTATCAGCTGCCTCTTAGCTTAGCGCCCTTTTGACTGGGGTTCACATCCCTAAACCACTCGGGGGCAACCTGATTTGAGAGGTTTTGAGGAGCAAAGGATTGTTTTGGAGCAGCCCAGCTTTCGATTTTCCTGTAAACCGCTCAAAGAGAGGCCTGACTCACAAACAGACACCAAGCGTCAAGTGGTAGGGGTTGCCTTTTGACCCCCCACCTCACGACCCAGAAAGGATCCTAGCACGTTCTGAAAACCCTTTCCGGGTAGGGTGGTCCTACTCGTTCCCCTTGTGAGGTGCATGAAAAAGACCCTCAAAGATTGGTTCTCCGCTCGAGGGCGGTCACAACAGCAGCGAAGCCTGAAAAAAGTTGCCGCCGCTGGCCAAAAGCTGGAAGCAAAAAGCCCTGGAAAGGCGTCAAGACGTGTCAGCGGGTTTCCCGAGCGGTCCAGTGTAGGGCCAGCCATGGCCAGGTTTTTTTTGCAAAAATAAAGTGAAGCATCTGGCAGTCATGGCTAGTTCAGCAGTTACAAAGAAACTCTTCCGCGGCCGTATTAAAGCATCATCGCTGCATTCCGGCATGCCTGCTTCCAAAAAATCACCATGCCCAGCCAAATCAGTTGCTCCAGCTTCCACATGTGCAAGCAGATTCTCGGCCCCGCGGCACGCCGGGCTCTCGCACCCATGGTCACTAGCACATCCAGCCAAAGCCAACCAACCCAGCCGCACTGCAAGACCTGAAAGCGAAAAACATGTCGACGCGAGAAGGCCATGGCCCAGTCATTGATCCTGTCCCTCTGTGGATTCGGAATATCCAAAGCTCGACAGGGGAGACGAATGTTTGATGAGCTTCTGATGAATCTGGGTGTGTATTCCTGCTCCAGGTGTCCTATTGAAATCATTGTGCGGCTCGAGTAAATGATCTGCACCAAACTGAAAGCAAACTGAAAAAAAGGGTGCCTCATACTTTCTGCGCTCATAGGCTCTGGCAATGCAACTTGTCCTGTCCTGCAGAAGTGTAGGCGCTGCATTACCAGATGTACACTCCTGGCAAAGGGGTGGATCTTTTCATTCTGTCTTTACCTTTCTTCCTTTCTTCCTTTCTTCCTGTCTTCCTTTCTTCCTGTCTTTACCTTCTTCCTTTCTTCCTTTCTTCCTTTCTTCCTGTCTTCCTGTCTTCCTTCTTCCTTTCTTCCTTTCTTCCTTTCTTCCTTTCTTCCTTTCTTCCTTTCTTCCTTTCTTCCTTTCTTCCTTTCTTCCTTTCTTCCTTTCTTCCTTTCTTCCTTTCTTCCTTTCTTCCTTTCTTCCTTTCTTCCTTTCTTCCTTTCTTCCTTTCTTCCTTTCTTCCTTTCTTCCTTTCTTCCTGTCTTGCTGTCTTCCTGTCTTCCTGTCTTCCTGTCTTCCTGTCTTCCTTTCTTCCTTTCTTCCTTTCTTCCTTTCTTCCTTTCTTCCTGTCTTCCTGTCTTCCTGTCTTCCTGTCTTCCTGTCTTCCTGTCTTCCTGTCTTCCTTTCTTCCTTTCTTCCTTTCTTCTGTTGTTCCTTTCTTCCTTTCTTCCGTTCTTCCTTCCTTGCCTCCAGTCTTTCTTCATTTCAACCTTGTTTCCTGTCTTCCTCCTTCCGTCCTTCCCTCCTTTCTTACTTTTCGACAGGTCTTCCTGTCTCCCTGTCTTGCGTATTTCCTTTGTTTCTTCACATATTGATTCTCGCTTCTGTGCGTTCTAATTACGTGTCGTTGATCGAGTGTGTTCGTTCTTTCTTTCCATCATTCCTTCCGTCTTTTCTTCCTCTCTCTCTCTTCCTCTTTTGCTTTGTCTCCCTCGCCAATCAAAAGCTGGGCACATATCCCGAGCTGCCACTTCTGCTTTGACTCCGGGCGAATCACAACAATTTGCCAAGCCTTGAAAGCAACTCTGGAGTGTTTCCTCTTGGATGGTATATGAGATACGCATGCTGGCGCCCAAGAACAAATAAGTAGTACCAAGCTCCACGGCTCGAACAAACCTCTGACCCCTCAAGAGACCATGACGCGCTCCTGGCTGTGAGCCACATAGCTTTGCTCTAGAGCTAGAGAAACGCTACCAGGGTCATCAGTTTGCACAAGCCTCATGGAGTACGGTGCTCACACCCGAAGGTACACGCGCACGATGTCAACTCTGCGTCAAGCAATGCCCCATACGTTTTCTGGCCGTTCAAATTCTCGGAGCCCCCATGCCAGCGACCTTTGGGTGTGGCTCAAAATGAATTGGTACCGGCTTTTGAGCCACAGACTGGGGAGTCAACAAAAACAACTTGCACCCTTTCCGTTGGGCACGGTCCCCGGCACCGAGTCACTTCCCCCGCGTGCCGCCGCGCGCGCCGAAGACTTCGCCTGCCTTCACGTATTGGCCGTCGCAGTAGATGCCCGCCATCTTCCCCGAGCAGAAGGTGGCCGAGCCACAGCTCGACTGGAAAAAGGCGGATTCGCGCGCGCATGCGCACGCGGCGCGCATGCTCGGCTCGTGGAAAGAAAAGTTTAGATGGGTTCTCATTGGGGAAAAAGCAAGGGAACACCTCAGATTGGCCCCAACACAGTGGAAAAACATCTCCGTGGCGGCCCCAGCATCTCTTCAAATTGCTACATCGCTCATGTCTTTGCCACATGACTCTTTCCTTACGATACTTGATGCCAGTGCGTCCTGGTCAAGCAACTACTTGCCATGAGACATTGGCACTTTCTGATTGAGTAACTCCCTTTTGGGCTGTGTTCAAGGTTTTGGGCAAATCAAAATTGGCTCACCGTGAATGACTCGGGGATTCCTGGCTCCAATGTTGGAAGCCTTACTTTTGCGAGGCCACTGAAACATCAGCGACATGACTAGCGTTTGAAGCCTTGGCCAAGACGACACGTGACTGAGTATCTCGGGCAGTCCGATGCCGCAGAGCGTCAAGTTTCAAGTGGATGGTCTCTCACCATCCGAATGTGGCAAAACATCCGCTGCCTTCAAGCCCACTTCAAGCCTGTTGTCGAAACGTCGCCCAGCCAACCCCATACGTCTCGCGCCAGATTGCTCAGATCTACAAAGCAGCTGCAACACCATTGAAACAAGCCCCCAAAACCGAGCCGCGCACCAATGTCTAGTGAGAACCAGAAACATGGTATCTCAAAACTCCGCCTGCCATACGCCGGGTCGACTTTCAGGAATCTTCCGCGACATCCCATCGCAAGCTACCGGCCCGAGGCGACTCGTCGAAATTCGCCCGAGGCGACTCCGCGCTCGCGGCGAATCCGCGCCTTCTGAAAGGCCGCTTCGCAGTCGCCCCCGCTGCAGTAGGAGGAGGCGGTAATGCGCCCTCGGACGCGTCAGAAACCCCATCTCTGTGCTTGAGCGTGCAGCTGGTTGTCGGGTGTCCCTTTCGAACAACCAACAAAACCGAAGCTCCCTTCCCAAAAAGTGAGCCAAGTTGCTGCTTTCCTCTGTTCTCACTTTTCCACAAGCAAAAAAAGAAGGTGTGCTTCGCCAAAACCTCAGCTGCTGGTTTCCTCCCATTTCCCCAACCCCAAACCAGGTGGTGCTCCGCATTTTTGCGAAGCCCAAGCGCCATCGGTGCAGGTGAGCGCGGTGCTGCCAGAGCAGTAGCCCCCATCGATCTTGGCGAAGCAGAAGTTCAAGCTGCCTCTGTCCAGTGCCAAGGTACCCCTTTTACATACCCCTTGGACAAAACCCAAAAGGCCTGATGTTCATACCATTTCCTCTCCCCAAAAAAAGGTTTTTATACCCCTTATAAAGTGGCTTGGACACCCACGGAAGGCCAAGCGCGATGGACAAGGGGTATGTACTTCCACCCAACCCTCTGCCAGCCGACGGGAGGCGAGTTTCTTACATGCGCCATGAATCTAAGGTGGCTCCCACCAAGGCGACCATCCGAGTTTGGTGGTTTCTGGGGTGGGTGTTCGGGGGTCTGTCAGGGTGCCTAGGTGTCCTTGGGAAGCCCGGCGCTGGAAAACCCACCGATGACAAATCACAGGAACATCAATGGAAAACATAATGGAAAACATGGAGACGCCCGCTCCCTGATTGGGCCATCCCATGGAAATGAAAACCTTATCAGTGCAGAAGACCTAAATCCTGGCACCCAATACGCTCGCCCCCATTGAAAACCCGAACCGGATTTTCTTGGTAACCTCAGGCCTTTGCATGCCCTCAGCATGCTTTGGGGCACAATCCCCTACTAGGACCCCTGATGTCCCCTGAGCGAGTTTAGCTCAAAACCTTCAAGACATGGGAGGTAAACCAACTACAGCAAAGGCCAACTTCAGGACATCCCCTTGAAACATCTTCCATGCGCGGAAGCTAGTCAAAATGTCCCTCAAATCTAAAGAGTGCAAGATCTTGCGGAAGCCGTCAAAAAGCTGCCAGTTCAGCACATGAGTCCTGGATTGCTCCTTGCATGTCCGGTTTAGACATGTGTAGACCAAGAGGAAGCCAACAACCAGGGCACACCCACATACTGATTGAAACAAAGCTGCAGTGCTCGCGCGCGCACCCACACACACAGAGACGCACACAACGGGTCCAAGGCACATGTTGCATGCTATTTCGGCGCAGCGTCTTTCTGCCATCTAAGATTCGAGGGGCCCGGGCCATAAGTTGCGGTTCCCCCTGGCTGGCATCCGGGTCAAAAAGATGTGTTGAAGCTTCCATTAATGTCAGCCTGAAGAGAACATCCAGGTTTACCATTGGTTCTCCCTTCCTTCACATTGGGTCCACTGTACGCCTGAAAACAAGGGACCAAGACGGTCCCGCGCATCTCATGCCCCGCGCCTCCTGTGCCTCCAGTAACAGTGCTTCCGCTGCCTCCGCTGCTTCCCCCCTCCCAGGTGCATCCAGCCCAAACTCGGCAGAAGGCCTCGGTCGTCTGTCCTCAGCAGAAACAAATTGGCGGCTCAGTGGGGCTCTGAGATGGTTTGAACAGGAAAGGACGAGCCTCTCCGTACCCCCACCGTTGTCACCGGAGGACTTTCGTTCCAACAGGAGCCGAGTTCTCGCATGGCCAAATACCTCCGATTGCTGAGGTCGCCAAACATCAAGAACAACGGAGCGCCGCGCAAAGCGGCCTTTTGCATGCGCCTTGCGGCTAAGGTACCTAGGTTGCCCACCTCTCCTGGTGAGCCAACAATGTGTTTGTCCTTCGCACCAAACCAATAAATGCGCATGCCCGGAGCTGGGGAAGCTCGCAAGCACATCAGGAAAAGCCAAACCGTGATAACTGCAGGAACGTCAGCGGAAAAGCCATGCCAGGGCCGAGTCTTCAGAAACCCACCGTACCAGGCAAGCCCGGAGGCATCAGCGACACGCTCTTCCAACAGACTGCCTGAAGCTGATCCCGGTTGCAACGGCGACCTCTCTGCAAGTTGCGAAGCTGTGAACACAGGATGAAATCTGAACTTCCCTCCGAGTCGCCGGATCTCCAACACCTCTTCTGACTTTCTGTTCTTCAAACCCTCCCTCCCCCCCCCCCTCCGCCTCCCTCCCACCCTCTGCCCCCGCCTCCAGACCCTCCCCCCTCCAGACCCTCCCCCCAACCCCTCCCCGTTCCCACCCCTCGAGGCCAAGCCGCGGCCGCAAACGCTCAAGGAGCCCTTGCACCCCGTGCCACCGGAGGAGGAGTCCGACCACGTGCAGCCGCTCCAGAACTCGCACTGACTCTTGCTGGTCTCGCCTGGCGGCGCCAAAAAAAATCGGCACCCAAACAATTAAACTGCCCAGGAAGTGGGAACCAGATCTCAAATTGGTGCGATCCCCTGGTGGTTGATTTTGGAGCTTAAAGGCAGTTGCAGGGTGGCTACTCTCCCCAAGCATCACCCCCAAAAGGAAACTCACTTTGACATGCCCCTAAAGGGGAAATGTAAGGCACCCTGTCCGAACAGAAAATGACTTCTTGGCTGCAAAACCAGATCTGCTTGAGATAATTGGCCAAAAGAGAAATCCTTGCTCAGATTGGAGCGTTCTCAAAATTCTCAGGTCCCAGGAGAAGCCTGAAGCAATTCCCGAGCCACCCATAAGCCAAACCTCGATGTCCAAGGTAAACGCGCAGGCGCACTGTGGGGGGCCCAGCAAAACCCAAGGACAAAGCGGGCAAGCGTATTCCACACAGCAAAACCTCGCGCCAAGTTTGCTCACGTGCCCAAGCCGATCCCTATTGCGGCTTCTTGTAGAAAGCCCGCTGCAAACAAGGTTTGACTAAAGCAGAAGAAAAGAAAAGGATCATGTGGGTATGGGTCAAAATAAAACCACGAGGGGACTGCACGCTTTAGTCCTTGTTTCCTTTTACCAGGGTTCCATTTTGGGTCCTATTTTTGTCCCATGAGATGCAAGGTTGAGGCAGTGTTCCATGACAATCACCACAACTGCGTTCTTGGTGAAGCCCGAACAGCCCAAACAACCCCGGTGCTCCCCAAGGCACTTTCAGTCGCTTCCAATCGCGGTCCAAGGCGCCATCACACATCATGCTGGAGCCCGTGCATGTGGCAGAAGCCACGCGAGCCGCACCGAGCAGAAGGAAGCGCCATGCAGAATGCATCATATCAGCGGAGCACAGGACTTGCTCGATGTATCGCAAAGAGTCGGCCAAAGGTTGAAAGAAACATCAGCTGCGCGCACCATTCATGCTGGGCCAAGCTTGACTCAAAGGGCTGACAAGTCCGGAGTCGTCCGGACAGCGTCGAGGTGCTCTTGAACCCGCTGCGAGTTAAAAGCAACAGGCGAACCTCCGCGTGGTATGCAAGCACTAAGTTGACAAGTGTGTGGAGACTTTGAGAGGAAGACACCGGCAACAAAAGATTTCAAATGAATGTTACCGCTTGGCAATGATCGTCCCCGAGTGATCGTTGCCTTTGTCCACAACTCCACAGATGCTGGCATCAACCAGTCACTTTCTGCACGTCGCACTGCATCAGGCCACTTCTGAATGTGCAGGAACCCCAAACAAACTTCCACTTTGGAAAGGTGCAAACCAAATTTTCGGACGTCCTAGAATAAGGGTGCCCTTTTCTGTGTCGTCTATTCTAGTAGGGTTGATTCCTCCCCAAAAAAAGAAACGGTAAAAGGGCACTACTGGGGGACGTAGGATACCCTCAGTGTCCATCCGGCAAGTCCCGGCCTGGATCCGGCTCCTCCGTCCTGGGCTACGCAGGGAGAAAACATGCCTGGGTGTAAAGTGAAAGACCTAGGGTCACGCAGGTCTTTGGTGTTAGTTTCCAGTTGGCATGCCTTGTTGTAGCATTTCTTTGAGCCCAGGTTTTAGTGTTAGTTTCCATTTAGCTTCTGTGCCATTGTTGTACACTTGTTGTTGAGCCACAGCCACCTGTTTCCCCAAGTGGCAGACCCTTTTTGTTGGATTTGCCAGTGGACACGGTCGTGAATCGCCCATTAACACATGTTAGGGCTAAGCTGTTGGATGGTTTTGAAGGCAGCCTAGGAAACCTCCGCCTCAGATGCGGAGCGTGAGTACTCGTGCCGTCTAGTCCAATTCTGATTCCCACAGACACCCACAGAAATGCCCTCCAGTCTTTCCACCACCTCTACATCATGGGCCTGGGTAAGCATCTGGGAGGAAAATGTCAGCTCGACGGTCGACGGCCCCAGTCCTCTCTATGTCAGCCTGATCGGACGAACGCGCAAGACATGACTGAGACAGTGCAGGGCGCCGTATCGCACTTTGACCTCGCCACCATGCATGAAAAGCTCAACCAACAAGACCTGCAAAAGTGAAGAATGCGTACTCGCGGCTTGCTGTTCCTATTCTGAATGCCCATTTACAAATCGCCGCCTGCAACTGCCAAATGCTGCACGTTGATTTGTTTGAAACGGTTACACGCCAGACTCCCACCGAAACCCCTCAGGTCTCAGGGGGCCCCCGTTCGTCCCCATACCCCATCCCCGAGAGCCCAGGCCTGCCGCTCCGGTCGCGGCGAGCGCCTACGGCAAAGCTGATCCTATGGGCTCGAGGATCGATCAGTTTCCACCTTCGACGATCTGTAGCACGATTGAAAAAATGCTTTAAACATGATTTTAAAAAAAACAATGGCTTCGAGCAATCGCCACCCTCCACACTCACGAGCTTACGACCGTGAACACGGTTGTGTGAATTCAAGCGTGGTTTTCGAGTGGCTTGGGGCCTATGACTGCTCAACAAGCTTTGCATTGAGAGCCTTATCCACCTGTCTGTGTGTCAAATCCACTTGTCTGCGAGGCGATCTCGAGAACTCAAACATCGGTTCCGTTAACAAAAGCCAAGCCCTTTCCAAGAAGAAACCCGACGGGGGATTAAACGAAGTTGCTTATTCAAAAACCCAAGGCAACACAAAAGAATCACCCTTTCCGAGCCTCAGTGTACACTCAAAACACGAAGGCACCAACATGAAATGTAAACCCAACTGTGCGCCGGGTGGGACATTAAGCAAAAACCAGGCTGGCAAGCTGCTCTGCGACACTGGCGGGCTGCTCTGGTGGGACACTCGGCGGGATCCACTGGCGAGCTACTCTGGCGGGATACTCGGCGAGATCCACTGGCGAGCTAGCTACTCTGGGATACTCAGCGGGCTACTCGGCGGGATCCACTGGCGGGCTGCTCTGGTAGCATAGGCGAGCTACTCCGGCGCGATACTCGGTGGGACCGCACTGGCAAGCTACTCTGGGATGCTCAGCGGGGGATACTCGGCGGGATCCACTGGCGAGCCGCTCTGGCGGGATACTCGGCGGGATCCACTGGCGAGCCGCTCTGGCGGGATACTCGGCGGGATCCACTGGCGAGCCGTTCTGGCGGGATACTCGGCGGGATCCACTGGCCAGCTGCTCTACTGGCGAGCCGCTCTGGCGGGATACTCGGCGGGATCCACTGGCGAGCCGCTCTGGCGGGATACTCGGCGGGATCCACTGGCGAGCCACTCTGGCGGGATACTTGGCGGGATCCACTGGCGAGCTGCTCTGGCGGGATACTCGGCGGGATCCACTGGCGAGCCGCTCTGGCGGGATACTTGGCGGGATCCACTGGCAAGCTGCTCTGGCGGGATACTGGGTCGGGGCGTGTAGAAGCATCTCAAACGCGGATTCCAACATAAAACCTAACAACCCCTTCCCGCCGGGTGAAAAAAAAGGAGGAAGGAAGAAAAAAAAGAAGCTCAAGCCACCACGTATGCTTCTGGCAAATTCTGACACTTTGGAATCAAAGACCTCTGCCTCGGCACAAAAAAACACAAGACTACCGCAGAGTCCGGCCTTGGTTCCGCGTTCTGCTTGCGCCAAAGACAAAAACAAAACAAACAAACAAGAGGTTCCAGGGTGGGTCCAACCTCGCACGCTTCAGTCCTGGACCAACCCACACATGGAACCCTGGCTTTGCACTCGCCTTTCCGGCTTCTCATGGGGGATGGGCTCCGGGAAGGGGAAGACCGCCGGCACCTCGGCGCCGATCCATTTTGCCCGGGTGTCTGGAGGTTTCTAGAAAGAAGGATTCCTGGAAAGAATGGGGAAGGTAGGCCTAGAAACATACTTTCTTCATGCGCGAGGTGATCGGAAGACACGACGTTGCGTTGATCCACCGACCCTTGAGGGTGTTCATTCATGGCGTGGCCCCACCCAAGCCCAGCTCCCTGACCCAACTTCCAAACGGCACAGACCAAACTTGACACTTCTCAAAAGTCACACGATGACACAGTTCATGCCAGACCTCAAAACAAGACACTGGTGATTTCTTCAAGGCACTTCCCTTTTGTTCCTTGTGGGAATTGTCAATCTGTACTTCAACCGCGCACAAACGTGGCTTTGCGACCTGAAAACCTCTCAGGAGAGGCGCACCTCGGGCTCGGAAGCCACCCGAGCCGACGAAAAAACCGAGAGAAACAGACCTCTCGTTCTTTTTTAGTTGTTTTTAATATTATTATTATTATTATTGTTATTATTATAAGTATTATTATTATTAGTAGTAGTAGTATTATTATTATTATTATTAATATTATTGTTATTATTATTATTATTATTAATTATTATTCTTATTATTATTATCATAATTATTATCATTATCATTATCATTATCAGTATTATTCTTATTATTATGATCATTATCATTATCATTATCATTATTATTATTATCATTATCATTATCATCATCATCATTATCATTTTCATGTTCATTATCATTATCATTATCATTATCATTATGATTATTATTATTATTATTATTAGTTATTATTATTATTATTATTATTATTATTATTATTATTATTATTATTATTATTATTATTATTATTATTATTATTATTACTACTACTATTATTATCATTATCATTATTATTATTATTCTCATTATCATTATCATTAGCATGATCATTAATGATAATAATAATGATAGTAATAATAATAATAATGATAATGCTAATGACAATGATAATGATAATGATAATTATAATAATAATAATAATAATGATAATGATAATAATAATAATAATAATGATAATGATAATGAGGATTATTATTATTACCATTATCATTATCATTATCATTACCATTATCATTATCATTATTGTTACTATTATTATTATTACTATTATCATTATTATTGTTGTTATTATTATTCTTTATGTGTTTGTGTTGTTTTTGTTTTTGTTTTGTTTTTTACAAGAAAAACAAAAACTGACACCCGCGCGCGCTGATCCAAGCGCAGGACCTTGGCGCGGGACTGGGGCCTGGCCGTGAGACGCAAAAAACAACGGGTGGGTTTGGCCTCTTTCGTGTCATTGTATGTCTGTTTTTTTGACATCGTCCGTTTTCTGTCATGCTCGTGTCATTGTATTTTTCATGTGCTTTGGACAAGTTCCACTTGTTTTCGGGTGTGTGTTTGCTTTGTTTTGTACCACCTGCCTTTCGCTCTTTCGCGGCGTTTGGGGGTGGGGGGGTTGACAACAATGACACATTCCTTCAGCCTGAAGTTTGTGCTTTGCTGAACGCATTTCACAGGAACTGTCGGTCAAAAAAATATTGCCGCCAACGCAAACAACTTGGGCATGTGTCAGAATTCAAAGGACCCGTTGGCTTCCCTCCCAAGCTGGTTTCCCTCACAAGTATGTGCCAGAATAAGAAGACCCAAACAGTGATGGTATCCCTTGGTTTCCCTCCCAAACAAAGCGAGCCGCAGAGGGTCTCTCCTCAAGAGCGACGCCTGGAAGAGGGCGCGGAGGCCGGCGAGCCCAGGCGCTCCCCTGCAGCTCGGAAGCCCGGGGGTGGAAAGAGGGAACAAAGCTCTTCACAGGTCTGCCCTGAAACCTCACCCCGCCAAGGGAAAACAAACCCAAAAACGCGTTTGAGCTGCCCAAAAGCCGGCCCTGATGTTTTGTTGTTTCTGGAAAACATTAAAAACAACAAAAAAAGTCCAGAAAGGCGTGGAAAACTTTAACAAAAAAGCGCAAGAAGAAGTCCCAAGGGCGTCCCTGATGTTTGGCAAGACCGAATTGCCCGCGTTTGTTGCGCCCACATCTCAAATCCGAGGAAATGCTGCGGCACCCCCAAAAAGCAAAGAACGAGACGAAAGCTCATGGAAAGTCCCGTCCAGGAAGACTGGCCTGTGGGAAACTCAGGTCAAACCTGAAGACGCTTTGTGAAAGCTTGGAGACCTCACGGGACTCGAGCGGCTGGAGCGAATCTGAACATTGAACATCCCAGTTGAAACCACTGCTGTTGGACATATCTGAGATGGACGCGGATCATCCGAAGCAGGCACTACCCTCCCAACCTCACGCGCGCTTTCCCACGAGAAGCCGCCTGTGGGGGTCGCCCGCTGCGGCGAGGCCCGGCCTCTCGTCTGAGGCATCAGAAGCTTTGCTTTGGACCCCTGCGGAACTTGCTTTCGGAGGCGCCCCTGAAGTGCGCCAGGCTGCCGAAAGGGTGCGATACAACTGGCAGAACCCGTAGTTGGAGATGAGGAACCCAGAGTTGGAAGTGAGGAAGCTGGGAAAATCGGATCATTGGGTGGGACTGTTGACCCCCGTCGCAAGTCCCAGCCTTCGCCCAGAGCAACCATCCCGTTCCAGGAGCACTTGAAAACTACGGACCCCGCTCAAACTGCGCCGAAAAGCCACAAACAAGAAACTCGGCCAGAGTCTGACGTCTTCCCTCTGCAAAAAGTCAACTGTTTGCTGTTGAAAAGGGAATAAAGGAAAATCAAAAATGGTGGTCAACGAAAACAGATAAGCTGAGTCTGGCAACGAAGAAACAACTGCTACACCGACATCTGCACCAGTGCCAATGGAAACTCAGAGCGCCAGGCCGCCTTCGCCCTCGCGCCTGGCCAATCAAATGGGCCGACAAAGGACTGCAAGGACCATAGGTGTCCCTCTGGACTTAAATAGATGGATTCCGTTGAAGGAGTCTGTCTTAGTCCCAGAATACACAAAACTGACACCTGTGACACCCACGGGGCCGCGAGGGTGCAATGAAAACAAAGGTCAACGGTACGCACACGCCATTTATCGCCAACCTATGTGGCTGCAACCCCCGGATGCTTTCCTTGGAGGGTGTCAAGCGTGCCAACACAGACGGCGATGGCGAATCAAAGCAGGGGACCTCCGGGCCAAAGCCACCCTTTCCCCCGTCGATCCCCGTCCTCGGAATCTCACACGGAATGGGCTCCGGAAACGGAAAGACCGCAGGGATGGAGACCTGGCCAACGGGTCTCCAAAAAGCTCGCAATGTCTGTGGCTGCCCTCAGATCCCCCGCCAACAGTTTAACTGTTAGTGGGTTAAACGGAAATTGCATCTATACTAAAAGGCTAAAAAGCTAAGGGGATGGCTGGGAGCCACCAAGGAGTCATGTCGTCCAAAAACCTTCCAGGCACCATCCAGTCACTCTTCACATAAATCACATGTAGTCTTGGTTGACACAAGGATCACTGGTGCAGGCCAGCCTTTGATCGGATGAAGGTTGCCTATCGGGTTCCTGCTATATCACTTTTGCGAAACGGAAAGACAGCACACGAGCAATAGCCATAGGCCAGCATAAAATGAAAATGCTGACTGGTCATAGTTGTCGCTTCGGAAAGGTGGAGAACGTCATTCAAAATTTGGTCAATGGCCCAATTGGTGTTGTGTGTGTGTGTGTGTTTGTTTTGATTTTGAGGCACCATGTTTGAACACATGCCCATTACTTTGCTTGATCTTGATTGCAGCAGTTTGCTAGCACACTCAATCGAGCTTGCTGGTTTTTTGCTTTTCCGACCCCGGACGTTCTGAGCGAATGGCCCAAGGCTTTTGGAAGAAGCAGACCTTCATGCCAAGAAGCTGAACTCGCAATGCATCAGGACACAAATCTCATGCGCAAAAATCCCCAAGGTTTCGTGGCCACGATGGCTGCATCCAGGAGTCAAGCTGTGGCTTCATCTGAATTGCAAGCTTTCGGCTGGGTAACCCAAAACTAGCCGGCTCCCACGCGCCTCAGGCGAGTCCCTGGCCAGAAAAACCAAAAAGGCCAAGCGAAACCTGGGAAGGCCAAGGCGTAAAATGGCGTCAGTCTGGACACATTCGCTGCCAAGCCGGATAGCTCTGACACAAAGAAGTTCGCAGGGCATCTGTTGTGTGGCACTGGCACGGGGCCGACTAAAGAGCCATCAGTTCACCCCGGAGCTCGCTCGCTCCGATCGTGTGGCTTTCTTCTGAGCGGCACGAAGCCGAGAGAAGGGGCGCCCCGCCAATGCGCCGAAAGAGGTCAAGCGAAAACTCGGGGCAAGCGCCAAGAATCGCCAACCGCAAAAGTCGGAGCTGGGAAAACATTCATCTTACTCCAGACACTCCAAACCCATGGCAACTAGTGGGGGAGCTCAAGGACAAGTGAAGATGCGCCGGCTTGGGGCAATTACAAAAAGAACAGGAGGGCACTGTAATAAGCTGACATTGGCGATGATGATCTTGTGTGTTGCTCTGGCTGTTACAATCCTATATCTCACACTGGGGATCGTGGCTGACCATCCGCTGGTGCAAATTCTCTGCCAGACCCCCTTCAAAGGTTGCCCGTTGCGCCAAAACAGGCCTCAGAACCCCAATCCAAAGAACTGTAGCGCCAGCGGAGGCAGCATCTCAAAAGGAACTGCAGAGTCCCATCTATGGGTAGTGCTTCCAAAAAGGGAGAGCCATAACTAACTTCCCCACCCCCCCACCCCCCCGGGCCCCGGCCCCCACCCACCCCCCCCCCCCCTGCCAGCGTGGGCTCAGCCGCGTGGGCGGGCGTGAGGAGCTACGGGACCCCGCGTTCCGGCGCAGCAGCGCGGCCCTGAAACCATGCGGAGGAAACCGAAAGAGCTGCGATCGATTGGCGGATGGGGCCACCACCCCAAGTCCCCAATTGAAGCATGTGGTAGAGGAAACGGGGGCAAAAAAGGCTGCGAGAAAAATGGGCTAAAAAAGAGAAAACCAATAACCCCCCCCCCCCCCCCGCCAATTCCCCAATGCTTATCAGCATTCCTGATGGAGCACAGCGGAAGCCCCGTACCACAAATGTCCATTGGGTTGAGGTATGTCCATTGGTGGCAGGATCTGAACCTTGGCCCTGATTCAGAGCCGAGGCAAGGGGTGCCATGAAAAACAAGAACAAAAAGAACATGACCCTTTCTTGGGCATTGATTGCCTCTGGTCGCCAAGAGTTCCACTATCAGTCATTTGTCAGTTGCAATGGCTGCCCTTGTTGTGCCTCCAAATCAGTGTGATTCATGCTGGTGGAAATTCACGGAACAGGCCCCATGGATTCTCCGGCTATGACCCAGTTGGTGGTCGCTTCGCCGATTCCGATTCCGCACAACTGCAAAAAGGGCGCCAGTGCCTCGTGGTTGGGGAAAAGCCGACTTGCCCAGTGCCATCGACGGCGTGAGGTAACCCAACATCCGAATCTTTCCAGCAAACCCGCCCAAGATCTGTGAGAAACGAAGGGATTGGTGTGTGACGTGTCAAGGTTGGTTGTCCCGGCTAGCCAGCCGTGTTGGACATCAGCCAAAAATCTACAGGCCGAACAAAATCAACAATACCACGTGAGGGGCTGGAGGGTGGTTTGATGTTGGCTGCACTGCATCAATAGCCCATAGCATTGACACCCACCCACCCACCCACCCACCCACCCACCCACCCACACACACACACACACACACACACGCACGAGGAAACAACCAAGGGAGCTTCGCTCGGCCGTTGAAAAAAAAGAAGAAGAAAAAAACGCGAGAGCACAAAAGGCTCAGACGGCCAAAAAGGAACGAAGAGCCGCATGGAGCCGGGAAACTGGGCTGCCCGTTTTCAGATCCCCCGCCAAAAGTGACTCGCTTTTAGTGGGCTAAATACGGAAACCGCCACTAAACACTAAAAGGCTAAACGCTCAAAGTGACTCACTGTTCGCGGGTTCAATGCAAATCCCACCACTAAACACTAGGATCTCAAAAGCTAAGGAACCGTTTGGCTGGGAGCCAAGCAAACCGACCCCAAAGCAACGAAATACGAAGATGCCGCGGACGGCCTCAGGCGCCGGGAGGCCTTGACGCGGGCCTCTGCAGTGCGCTCCAGAGAGGCCTGGCCGGGGGAGGGTCTTCTTCACCACCTTCCACCACCATCATCGTCTTCTTCGTCTTCGTCTTATTATTGCTATTATTATCATTATTGTTCTTCCACTTCTTCTTCTTCTTCTTCTTCTTCTTCTTCTTCTTCTTCTTCTTCTTCTTCTTCTTCTTCTTCTTCTTCTTCCGCGTCTTCTTCTTCTCAAATTTCTTGCTTTAGCCATGCGGACAGCCCCCGGACTTTCCGCGAGTCAAAGCTCCCGCGGCCCCGCGCAGCGCATCTTTTTCCGCCGAATCGCTCGCAGTCCCCGCATGCGCGCGATCCGAGGTCCTGGATCTGCAACAAGCATTGTATTGATATTAACGTATGTGAATGTATGAATGTTGTCTGTATGATACGTATGTATGATACGTATGTATAATATGTATGTATAATATGTATGTACAATATGTATATATATATATATACATATATATATATATATATATATATATATGCACATCGTCTATAATATGTATATCGTGCATTGATGTGTACATATCAATTTTATGTATTAAATCAGTAGATGTATATTACATTATAACGAAAAGAGGTTTGATGGGGGCCCTCACCCCTTCCCCCGCTTTCCGATAAGTTTGATGATGACGACGGGGTGCTGTGGCTCTGATGATAACGTCGCGTGCGCTTGCTGTGTGCTAATGGTATGCAACCTTTTTCTGTAGTGGTAAGGGGAAGGAATGGTCTAATTACAGCTAAGCTGGCTCCCACGAAAGGCTGCTGCTGAAGTCTATACCTATCTCTTCTGAAACATCTCAGGGCGCTGAAAGCATCCAATGCTTCCGTTGGGCTTCGACTCCGCAACACGAGTGTGCCTGGTAATTAAGGCAGCTGCTTGACCCAGCTCGGGCTTGTCAGATCCAGGAGCACCCCGTCAGAGAGGAGTGGAGCTCGGCAGCCCTTCCTGATCTAGGTCCTCCAGTTTTGGAGGTTAGAATAAGGGTACCGTTTCTTTTTTCTGTAGTCTATTTTAGTAGGGGAACCCTCCCAACCAAAAAAGGGGTGAGAAACGGCACCTAGCTGGGGGACCTAGTGATTCAAGCCATCTTCCTCAGGCAGTTGGCCATTCTCCACATGGGCATGTTGGACCGCCGAGCCCCCAAGCCTCGCTGAATCGACCCGGTGAAACAGATCTCGAGATCGCTCAGAAACCACCGCCCACCACATCCGTGCGGCTGGTTCTCACCTCCGGCTCGATGGGGTCGGGGGCGGGCCAGGGGTTGGTGTTAGGTCGTCAAGTTGAGCAGAGGGCCAATTTTGGGCCCAGGTCCGGCCCTTCTGACGACATGAGCCATCTGAAGCTTGGAAGGCCAACAGAAGTGGCCGCCTAAGCGATTGTCAGGTGCAAGTCTGACAGGGCTTCTGAACACATATTGAAAACCAAATGTGGACATGTTGGTCGTTTTGACAAATGAAGTCTTGAGGTTCGGCTTCCCATGAATGTCCCAGCTGCCTTCCATGCTGGAGTGTATGAAGCTACCGCTCAATTGCTCCAACAATAGGCCAAGACGAGACATGCTTTGGATGTCCCACCTGTAGATGGCACTTTTTTCCGCACTATTTGATTACTCTTGAAGGGGAAAACAATCCACTGGTCAAACATCCGCATCGGCGCGTGGACGGAACGATCAATCGGCAACAATCAATCGCCACATGCCCCCGGGCCTGCATCACCTGAGCACGGCGCTTGGCTGAGATGGGCGAGTCCAGGGTGAAGAGCCCATCAAATCAAACCATCTTCAGAGCCACAGGGGAGCCACGATACGGGAGGATCGGTGGCCTTTTGGAAGAATTGGTGGGTTTCCAGAAGGAAAATGGAAGAAAGCCCACCTAAACCAGTGGAACCCAGCTATTCTTAATCAAACTAACCTAAGGACACCTATGAGGAGGATATGGCCCTTGGCCTTTCGCTAGTCACGAAGGACTCCGAAGAACCGAGGGAAGCGCAGCAACTGCCACGGCCACCGCATTTGAAGGCCAAGGCTGGGGGACCAAAGACTGAAAGGGGCCATGTTTTGCTGAGCAAATCACCTTACACTCATGCAGATCGAGCGGCCAGTTAAGTTTCAAGATGACGACTGAGACGCAAGGCAAACCAAACACAGATCCAACAAGCAGGGCAAAAAGAATCGGTATAATTAGCCAAAACGCACGGGGCACCTATCCCAGTCCGCATCTCCCCGCCGCGACTCAAAAACAAAAAAGCGCCGGCCGTACGCTTGCCACCCGCTTCCCCCCCTTCGTCGAATCGATCGCCTCGCCTTGCCAGCACGGATGAGGTGCTCTACGTCGCTGCGCTTCACCATCATCTGGTACCCGCCGCCTGAGCATCCCCGGCGGTGCGATCGGGGAATCGGTTCCAGCAAAACCATCCCTTGCTGAAGCGGTGTCCGTTTTTGCAGACCCAGAACCGGTTCGTTCAACCAGCACCCGGAAGAGTCATTCCCTACCTGTCGCTCCAAGTGTTTGCCGTTGGATTCTATGGACCAAACTTCAACCAAATGCTCAAAGCCCTGGAGGTGATCACCCGTGTCCGCACAAATTTGCCTGTCCAAATGGAGGCATGACAAATCCAATTCCAAAACCTTCCAGTGGATCGGAGGTTCACACAGCGCAACCCCTTGACAACCTCCCCCCCCAGTGGACTTTTAGCTTCAAAATGAAACCAACAGCCAACCAATCTCGTTTAGAGGTCCCAAGACAAGGAAACCCAACAGCCAACCAACTTCTTCCAGAGGTCAGACAACATTTCGAACCGAAGACGTCTCCCACCCAAAACCGGCGCCGAAAAAATCCAGGGCCCCCCGGCGGAGCCGGAGCATGCCGCTGCCGTTGCTGGCGATGCCGTCCAGCTGGGGGTCTGGCCGGAGGATCCGGACCTGCCCAGATCCCAGCAGTCCGGGGCGCTGTCCAGCTTTTGTTCGGGCCTGCCTTTCTTGGGGGATGGGGGCCAGGTCAGCTAGCTTAAGCGCCTCTGTCGGTGAAGGCTGGCCAAGTTTGTGGACCAAAAAAAAAATGGGCCTGCTTTTTTGGGGGGATGGTGCGAGCAGCAAAACGGCGGAGATGTCTGCATTTCTGGCTGGGAATGTCCCCTATCAAGCTCCGAGGTTTGAGGCTCAGCTATGGTGAGTTCCAGGAAATATCCCCCCACTTGGATCGAGCAAAGAACGACAAAAGCCGAAGGTTCAATTCCCGAGCGACCATCCAAGTATTTTTTGAGCCAGAACCTCAGATCTTAAGGCTCGGTAAACCTGGTATTAGAATGGTCTACCCAAATCCATGTAAGGGAATCGAAAGGCGGCCGCGCCTATTTCTGGCCGGGACTGTTCCTCACAAACCTTCATCTACCGGGGTTTTGATTGTGGCTCACCTAATCCGCAAGGTTGGTTCATCCGGGCTTGACGTTGGCTTTGATGTTCGACCCAAATTGCCCAAGAAAGCAAGCTCGCGCTCTGGCCTGGATGTTCATGTCCTCTGGTGCCTGCGCAAAGGAAAAGGACGGGGCTTGCTGGAAGCGGTATTGAGCAGCAGTCGGCACAAGTGCAATTCAGAAAGCCTTCCCCCAAAGAGCTGCGCAAACCGAAGTGCAAAGAATTCTGGGCGCGCTTTGGCTTTCGCTCTTCTCACTGCGCCTCTGCATTCGCCGTGAGGTCCAAAGGATGCTTGCACTTGGGGGTGTACCGCTTCATGTACTTGTCCTGACAGCGAAACATGCATGGGGGCTCAGACCTGGTTCGCATTGGGTGACCAGACACAGACATTGACACCTACAAAATCGGAACGTGTAAGTATTCTCACTACCATGGCTGGCAGCGCAACCGGTCCAGGCTGTCATTGTAGTTCTTGAGATACCTCAGCCGAACATGCAAGTGGGCAAGCCTGTGCTCTGGACAGGTGCGCGAGCTTTTCCTGTTGAAGAGGCAATCTCCATATTCACAAATGGCACCAAGACAGAAACATGCAGGTCCCCAATCTTATTTCGAAGAGAAAAATGCCAACACGATTCCTTTTCCCTTGGCTAGGTCTCTCTCCGGGCCAAAATGGGGCAGTCGAGGAACATCAATTGAGACGTCTCAGCGCTTGCGGGAGTTTTGGGACATACCCACATCCACCTTCGAAGGAACCCCTCACTCATAGTGACAAAGCCATCCGGTTGAGCTGCAGCTGACAGCTCTCCTAGAACCACAAAATGACTTACGCTTCCTCCAGTTGCCATGTTAGTGGGGAGGGAAAGGCTTGCGCAGTTCGTCCCTTCGTTTCAGCCTGTGCCCGGGCTCCCCAGCTCTTTCTCCCCCTGGTGGAGCTTTGAAAGCTTCTCCTCCGGGATCATCCGACCTCGGACCCGACTCGGGCGCCCCGGAGCTCAGCCGGCCAACGTGGTGGCCTGGGGCCTGGACTCAAATGAAGGAAAAACTACGATTCGAACTGTTCACAGCAAAGTTCCTGGCAGTGAGACCATGCTGTGCCTTGCGGCTGCGGTTCACCCAAGAATTTCCAAGAACTACTATTCAAATGAGAAAGTTGAAGTTTGCCAGCTCAACCGAAAAACCCAAGTGGATTGCACACCCCGCTTTGCCCTGACAACTCTCCCGGGCGATTGCAGACCTTACTTAAGCAAAGTTGGCAACTTGATGACCAATGCCAAATAGCCAACAACGCAGTCTTCCTCCCAGGAGGGTGCAGAGTCTTGAGTGGAAGGCAAGCACACAAAAACCCATGAGAACCCGAAACAGCTCTAAGGAGCGAAATCCAGGTGCTATGGTCAGCCAGGGCCCTCTCCTGCTCAAAGAAGACTAAAGGCAAAGGGTGAGATGAAAAGCTTGGAGACAAGAGCCAAGCTGGCGGCAGGAGAAGGAAGAAGCATATATTCGGATCGCTTCGGTACCGATCGATTGGTGAGAACTCAATACTCCGAATGATATCCAACCTACTCGTTTGTGGCACCTCAAGCAAGCCTGGCCCCTCAAGCAAGCCTGGCCCCTCAAGCAAAAGGATTACGCGTTTTTGGAGAAACTGATGTGTGTCTGTCTGTGCTGTAACTCGGGTGTGTGTCGAGGGTGCTCTAAGGAAACCAAAGGCAAGTCATCCATCTTAGACCTCATATCTCATTTGGGTGTGTCTTTTTGTTGAGGGTACCCTTTTTAGTCGGTTTCAATGGCAAACCAAAAAGGAAACCATTGCCATTTTGGTGGAGTGACGGTGTGTGTTTATTGTTTTTGTTTAACTAGGGCTGGTTTTCCTAGGGTTGGTTTTCCGCAGGGCTGGGTAACAAAAACAAAAAGGGGGGAAAAAAGAAGAAGAAGAAGAAGAAGAAAGAAGAAGGAGAAAGAAAAAAAAACATATCCATTCATGGTTTGCCTTTTCGACTGAAATGAACCGCCTCCCTTGAAAAGGGTTTCTACACTACCCGGGGGGCGGCTCATTTCTCCGACAGATCCATTTCGGCGGGTCTCCGACCAAATCTGAGCCCAGTGCCGACCTCCCAGCGCAGCCGCTCGATGACCTCCACTCTGGCCTTCGACTCGAAGATTCTCGCGACAGCCGCGGGGTGTCTTTTCTTTGCCTCCATTTACCAGGGCAAGCCATTTGAGCCACAATCAAAACCAAAGGTAGTAAAATGGTGAACCCAGAACCATGCTTCAAGAATTAAGCAGGCGGGCGCAGCTATTTATGGCTGGGATTCGCCCCTACTAACCTTCATCCACCCGGGTTTTGATTGTGGCTCATTTTGGGATTACCCTATGTTTGACCCACACACATATGGCCGTGCGGCAAAACCAATGGTGCCATTGGGGTAGTTCATTTACCAGGGTAAACGAGAACCACCAGGGGGATTGCAAAATTTAGGTGTGGCTTCCCTTTGCCAGGGCAAGCCATTTTGGGGTTACCCTATTTTTGACCCACGCCCATATGAAGCATCCAACTGGTGGTGTCCTTTGAGTGGATCCCGAGATTCATTCCCAAAAACATCCGTTAATTCCTTACTGAGCACCCAAGAGTGTGAGGAACCCTCGAACGAGCTCCAGTTGCGTGGGTGCATTCATCGAGCACAATACGTCACCAACCTGAAACGCTTAATGGACACGCAAGAAGGGACCCTTTGTCATGTCTTTTTGGTCTGTTCAAGGTCGCCATGGCTTGCCCAGAAATTGGGCAAGGTGTGCGAAACCGGTGCCTGCCAGAAGGGAACAGAACCTGAGGCAAGCCAAAGGCTGCTTAGCATGATCACGCTGTCTGAGATGTTCAAACCCAGTCAGGCCAACATCTGGTGCGCTCGTGTTCCTGCTCAGCTTGACCTGTCTCTCAGGTCCGGATATGCGATCCCTCAAGTAGACCAGCGTAGCAAGCACGGGTGTGCGTCGGTCAATTTCGTTCCACCACCAGATTGCTGTCACCTCGAGGTCTTGCAAGATTGAAATGAAAGTGGCCTTCTCTGCATCCATGGAGCAGATTCCGAGTTCATGCCCAATCCCAAAAAGGTCCCAGCCGGGTCCTTCCCGAAAGCAGATCCCTCCAACGGATCTGTTTTGGGGGTACATGGAATCATAGGTGTCCTTTGTGGGAAAATAGATGGCCCTGGTCAATGGAATAAACCCAACCTAAACCAGTGCCATCTATTTCTAGCCAAAATCACCCAAAAAGGACGCCTATGCATGGAATGCCTCGGAGATCTATACATCCAAGGCAATCATCTGCTGGGAGCCCGCACGTTTAGGTAGGCCAACAGGCACCTCTTGTTGCGGTCAATGAGGTCATCATAGAGATAGAGCCTCGGATCAGGCGAAGCGCGAGGGCTGTGAAAAATGGCTGTGGCTCAAAAACGTGGTACCCTGGTAAATGGAACCAAAGGCCAAAACCCGCGTAACCCCAGCTCTTTAATTTTGAGCCATACCCAAATGGACCTGGTACATGACTAGAACCAAACAGAAACCATGGCCACGAAAAAATTAAACCAAACCAACCTAAAAGCCAACCTCTGGCTGGGACCCTCCCATAAAGCCCTATGTCCGCCTGCTTATCTTCAGGAGTCTGCTGACACATGTCCCTAGGGTGTCGTGTTTCAAGGAAAACTCCTTTGGGTTATTCAAAGGGATGCCAAAAGGGAAGCAAACATTTCGGGTCCACTCATTTTGAGACAAACAAACCAAAAAAAACAGAGGCTCGTGTCGTTCAATGAAGAGCTACAAGACTACATCCACAAGGTATGTGTGTGTGTGTGTGCGCGCGACCACGGAGTGATCTGGTAAACGGCGAATGAGATTGTAGGCTTGAGAGTTGTTTGAAAGAGAAACCAAAGGGAAACCACCCAGTTCTGAGGTTCCTAGTGAGCCTTGCGTCGCGTTCAAAGATCAGCTGACGAGAAGCTGACTAGCGCACTGGTTTTCTCTTGGGGACAAGTCCAAGGCCCGGCATTCTTGGCCCCCAGCCCAATGAGCACCTCGTTCTCCAAGGATTCCTCTGAGTCCTGACGCCAACACAACAAAGGCCCCCCCGCTCCCCCCGTGGTGGATGGTTGGAGGTGTGGAGGTTGTATACTATCACTTGGGGTGTAGTGTTTGCCCTACTGCCCGTAAGTGGTACGTACATAACCTGCACACCTCCAAAGGACCTACCTGCACATGCTCTTGACGCACGAGACTCACAGTTGGGTATGCAAAGGGATCAAGCTGTCTGCAAATGTTTGCATGACCGCCGAGTTCTTTTGGTTGTCCAAAACAGTTTGCGGTTTCGCTTTAAACTGCGACGTCATGTGGAATTGCTCACGTGGCAAGAACAGAATCGGCCGGTCTGGACCGCCAGTAGCTACCAGCAAAGGCTCGATCACGCGGCTTGTCTCGTCAAGAATCGAGCCGCAAGGCCCCCGGCGACTGCGATTTAGAACAGCCCAGCCAGTTTCTTTCAAGGTGTGGCTGCAACCTGAATCATAGAAGGTGTTTTATAGAACTGCAACCTGAATCATAGAAATTGATTTGCAGAATTCCACCCTAAATCATAGAAAGGTCTTCATAGAGTTGCAACTTCGTTGCTCCATGCCAAAGCTTTTTGATGGAGCCAAGAAACCATTCCATCGACTCGGATTTCGCCAGGTGCCCTTTGGCTTTCGCCAAAGGCCGAGGCGCCGGCCTGGTCGAAGATGCGCTTGATCTCTTTGGCATCGCTGAGGATCTCTTCCGCCACCTAGGCCGCAAGGCCAAAAGACCCGGAGAGACAAAGAAGACAAAAAAGAACCGTCCCGAAAGAAACTTCGGACAAACCCCCCCACCGAGAAGCGGTTCCAAGCGGCGGTAGGATTGGTTTTGGGGTGGGGCTCAGGTTGGTGAGAGCATTGCACCATTGTCACTCCCGTTGCTCGAAGATGTCTGATTGGGGGGGGGTCAAAAGCACACATGCCATCCCCGATGTGAATCAAGGAGTGCAACTCCCAGCCCATCTCCACGAATGGAACATGATCATGCTGGACAAATGCCAGTAAGCCCTTTACTGCCTAACGCCGTTCAGCATCGGGCAACAGCATGCTTATTCATGCGCAGAGGTCTTGCTGGCTTGAGCGCTGCAAAACTCGGGACAAGTAGCATACCTCCACGAGCAAATCTGTACTTTAGGGGATGCATGTTGCAAGTTGGCGTTGGAAGCCCAAACCTTCCAGACCCATCTTTCGCATCCAGAGTCCCAAAGGGTATCACAGAGAGGGATGCTGAAAAAGCCAACCCCTCCCGCCTCCTTGACCACCTTGTCGTTGAAGGGTGGCAACCACCGCGCCCGCTTCAGGTCCTTTCTGAAATCGGGTCTGGGGGTCACTCCTCCCACAAGTGAAGAGCCTCTACTTCATGCCCCCCCCCCCCCCATTCCTCTCAATATTGACCTGGGTCAACATTTCTCTGGCGGCACGGCCCGGGGGCCTTGCCAAGTTCATGTCTGTTTGAGAAAGCCAGATGCAACCAGCCGATGGCAAGGGGTACTGGGAACCCAGGATTCATAAACCCCTCGTTGATTCTGAGAACGTGTCCCTCTGTAGGGATTCATCCGCTCATCCGCAAAGCCTACTTTACATCGACCAACCCCGGCCAAATGCAGAAAGTGCGCAGCACATTCCGAGCAACACGCCGCGCCTGTGGTCAAACTCCAGGCCGTCCCCTTTTGGGTCTTCCCAGGGCTCACACCCGAAATCCCAACCAAACAAGCCCCGGCGGCTTCGATGGGATCGGCTCCTGCAGCAGCTGCGCGGCTTTGCGCCCATGCAGCGTCATGACTGGCGCCAGCGAACTCATGACCCGGCGCGCGGCACTTTGGGGCGCTGAAAGAAGCCGCCGGTGGAAAAACTGAAAGGGCAATCCATGGTGGCCTAAGTGGCTTGGCCCTAGGAGACCTGGGCTGGTCGCTAGACCAAATGCTCAGATCTCAAACCTGCGGAAAAGCGGGCAAAGACAGCTTCTTTGGATCGGAATGATTTCAATCATGGCTTGAACTAGTTGAAAGAGAGAGTCCATGGTCCTCACTTGAGCGGATACATTCCTGCCCAGAAATCAAATGCATCCCTGGCTAGCCCCCTTCACCGCCAGGCCAAACGCGTAAGAGAGCACAAGGATTCTCCCTGATCGTCGCTTGCCAAAACACAATTCCGACATTGCGGCGAACAAAAGAAAAACCAATCCAGCCCTCCCCCCCCATCCTGCCTGGGCTGGACGGATCCCAAACCCCATCCCTCGAGCCAACTGAGGCAATGCGGCGGAAACTGCTTTGCAGCGAGAGAGGGAAAGAGAGATTGCTCATGGACACCTATGCCCGTATATGCCGGTGTGTGGTGTGTGTGTGTGTGGGTGTGTGGGTGTTTCTGTGCATGTCCGTGCATGTCTGCCTGTCTGCCTGCCTGTCTGCCTGCCTGCCTCTGTCTGATTGCATGGTATATGATATGGTATGGTATGGTATCGTATGGTATAGTATGGTATGGTATGGTATCGTATAGTAGAATGGTATGGTATGGTATGGTATGGTATGGTATGGTATGGTATGGTATGGTATGGTATGGTATGGTATGAAATGTAAAAAAAAGACATGTATGTGCTGCATGCAATCTATGCAACCAATGTAATCTACGAAAGCTGTAAGCTGTGTCGCCAATGCAAATCATGTACTTTATGTAATGTATGTAATGTATGTAATGTGTGTAATGTGTGTAATGTATGTGATGTAATGTATGCAATGTGTTGTATGTAGATGTAATGTATGTGATGTAATGTATGCAATGTGTTGTATGTAATGTGTGTAATGTATGTAATATATGTAGTATGTATACATATGCATATATATGTATATTATATATATAGGTACTGTATGCAATGTATGCAGTGTATGCAATGTATTGCTTTCAGGCAATGTGTGCAAACCTAGAAAATATATGTAATCAATGTAGTCTATGCAACTAGGTAACGTATGGCACGTCCGCATTGTGCGCAATGAATGTATTGTATGCATTGTGTGTAGTGTATGTAGTGTATGTAGGTAGTGTGACTGTAGTGCATGTAGTGCGTGTTTCGTGTATGTAGCGTATGTAGTGTTGCATGTAGCGTATGCAGTGTATGTAGTGTATGTTGTGTATGTAGTGCACGTACGCGTACGTACGTACGTACGGATGGATGGATAGATGGATGGATGTCTGTCTGTCTGTCTGTCTGTCTGTCTATCTGTATGTCTGTGTGTCTGTATGTCTGTATGTCTGTCTGTATGTCTGTATGTCTGTATGTCTGTATGTCTGTCTGTCTGTATGCCTGTCTGCATGTATGCATGCATGCATGCATGTACGGATGGGAAGGATGCATGCCCTTTTGCGTTCACGCAGGCATTGTTGATATCTGCTTCCGAATCCCGAATCTTGGCCGCGCTTGTCCGTCCGAAACTTCCGGGTCGAAGTCACCTACCTGGGACAGGACCCCACGTCCATCGATCCCGCCTCCAACACCTCCGGCGCCAACGGCACCTCCTCCTCGTAGCCCAGGTTTGGCCTCCACCAGTCTCTTGGCTCTGTCCGTTTTCGGATCCCCCGCTGACAGTGACTAACTTGCGGGCGAAATGGAAAACCAACCACTCAACACTACAAGGCTAGAAGGCTAAGGAACCGGATGGCTGGGAGCCACCAAGTTGGAATTGCTATGATGGCCTATCTGCCATAGAACTCAGCCGCCCATGGCATGGACGGCTCCCCACAGGAAGATCTAGCCAAGGGTCCACAGGCCCAAGGGAATATGTGTTCTAACCCGCGCTCACAGGCCAAGCCAAAACCCCTGGCCCGAGCAACCAACTAACCACTGCTTCCAGCCATACTTGAGAAGGCCTCACCATGCCAAACACGCACATTGCGCCCACAGAGCCAGGTCAACAAAGGCAGCTGGGGGCAATAGAGCAAGCAGAGCCACTGGTAGCACGGATTCACCAACATCTATCCCAAAATCTTGGTTCCATCCCGTCCCATTGGCCGCATGGATCACTCGACCGCTCTACCCGCATAGCAGTTCATGTCTTGAACGAATTCCTGCCGCCCTTAAGCCTTCGCTCCCAAATGGCTATGGAACCCTGGTCAATGGAAACAAGGACATTTCATGCGGTCCAATTCCTGGTGGTTTAATCTTGACCCATATGGCTGTGGGTCAAAACCAATGGTACCATTTTGGGGTAGGTGAATTCACCAACCATTTTAGGACCTGTTTTAGTGATTGGATTGGGATGAATTCACTGGGGGCAAACCGATTTGGCTCTTGACCCATGGCCATATCCTTGGCCCTCTCATGGCTCATGGAACCTCAGAGGAAGCGCAGGCGACGTGGGAAGCGACTTGGGAAGCGACTTGGGCCCCAGCTTGGGGCCGCTGCCCAGGCGCGCCGGGCCTCGGAAAACCGGGGAACAGGAAGCTCCGACGGGCAGTGCTTTCGGTTTTTCTGGACACCAAGGGAAAACACCAAATTTACAAGAACTGAAGGGGCTTGTTTTGGGGGTTTCCCAGTGCTTCCTGTTGCCGGAAACCCAGGGAAAACACCATTTACATTTGTTTTTGCCTAATTACTATGGCTTGCCTGGGATCCTCTGCAGTTTGGGGGGTCGCGATAGGGGCTTTGAGACTCCTAGCTGCTGGACTGCACGGGAAAAGGTGGTGAGCGTGCATATGTTTGTCCTCAGAGCCTGGGTTGGTCTGGGTGATAGCCGCAGATGACCCAGCTTACCTTCGATGTCCCTTCCAAAAAAAAGTATAGAAACTCACGGGCATATGTGCTGCACCGGGCGTACTTGGGGCACGAACAGGATCATGAGCACAGACCATGGCTGGGATCTTTTGGCTGCGTCCTGCGCTTAGCTTCACCTCTCTGTCGGTTCGCCCTCAATTACACATGGTCTGAACCACACCATTGCTCCCCTACATCATTTTGCTCAAAAGCATTTTCATCCCCAAATGATTTATCATCTGCCCAAGTGATCAGACATCCACAATTTGAAGTGCACCCAAAACCCCAAACCTTTCCCTCGGTTCCAAGGGCCCGTCTCTTGAAAGTGCGCCCGGGCACCCTCCGCCGCTTGAAGGCTTGGGAGTCCGGCGGGGCCGCTGCTGCAGCCGCTTCCACCGGTCCTCCAGCACCGATGCCCGCGCCAGGTCCTGAAGACGACACATGGGAGAGAGGTGGATCCATTGGTCCAGCGGCAGTCCATTTTGGGGTTGGCTTGGCAGGGGACTGAGGTGGATCTAATTGAAGAGATGGGGAAAGTGAGGTGGAGGGGAGTGAGGATCCCTATTTTGTTTGGGTTGGAGAGTGGAACAACTGAACCGGACTCGCAGAAGCGGACGCCTTGGAAAGAAACGCCCTCGCCGCTCCTCGTCCGGCAGCTCTTCGCTATAGAGCTCATGCACGGAGACCTTTGGGTCGGCTTAGTCAGGAGACTGGAAGGGGTGCCCGATGAGGAAGTCGGGAACTCCCAACCCTAGTTTGAGTTTCATGGGTCTTTTGTTGCACCTTCCAAGTGTATATGTCCATATCTCAAAAATACATCCGATCTGCAGAAAAGAAAGAGCTGCAGCCTTCAAAACATGACCGACTAAGGCCCTTTAAAGCATAAAAATAAGTATTGGAAACAAATATGATGGAAACATGAATCAACAAAAATCGACTCATGTGTTCGATTCTAGTACTTTTCAATTTGTTTTCATGCACGCACTGGTTGGCCCCTTGTCTTCCTCCTTTTTTCGACCTTGAAATCCCGGCCTTCCTTCGCACAAGGCTGCTTTGGCCCCGCAGAAGCGCACTGTCCTTTCATTTCTCCGTAGCTCTCCTTGGCTCCTTGACCCCTTTGCTAGTTTTAAGTCTTCGTTTGGATGTGAAAACAAGCCCCTCTCTCGCCTTTTTCCATGAGTCCCTCTAACAGCCAAAGTCCGAACGTCAAAACCTGGGTATGGAAGTGACTTTCTCTTCCCCAAGAGTCGACCATTCCTCGGTGCACCGCTTCCGCGCTCGCTCCGCTCGGCGCCGCCTCGCCAGTTCACCGACCCGCGAAGTTGAAGCTCACGCTCACCCGCTCCGATTCACGCACCGCCGGCCCGCTGGGCGGCACCTCGTGGCGTAGCCAGCCTCGGGCGGTGCTAAGGCCGGAAACGACCCTTGGCCTGCTGGACTGTTAATTCTGCACATATAACTGTGACACAAACAAGTAACAATCTGAGCCTCTGAGCATTGCTAATTCTGTACTTCATGATAATTGAGACATGAATACGTAACCATGTGAGCATATGTTTTCGTTTAGAGAATCACAATGGAATGTGCCTTCTCTGGCGCAAAAATGTGAAAAACAGGGCGTGTCGCCAAAAAGCAATTCTTGGCAACCTGGCCACGCTCTCCGGAGCACCGCCAATATGCAATCCCGATTTCAGCTTGGCCCAAGGTGCGTTCCCTTTTGTCTGTTTGCAGGGCACAAGCGGATGCGAGGCCAAGACCCCCAAAGGGCAGCGTTTTCCAACAATCGCCCGAAAGAAAGATGCAGCACGTCGCAAGATGCAAACGGGAGGCGAGTGTCTTGTTTATGAGTTCGTGCCCAAAAGATGGTTGGTTTAAAGGGAAACCAAAACAACCCAACCAGTTTGGAGGTTCCCCCACCTTGAGCCAAACCCAAATACCTAGACATATCCAAACTGGAAAAAGAACCTGCCAGAGGCTATCGATTTTTACCTCCCAGAGAGCTCGTCATAACTTGGTCAGAAGCCAAATGCCGGCCGGGCGACTTGGAAACAGAATCACATCTCCGGCGCGCACCTTAGTAGCTTAGCACTGCTTCACTGGATCGGAGCGGATGGGATTCATTCATCGGGCCGAGGGTCAAGAGATGGTGGCTGAAGGGGCATGCAGAGGGTCTGGAAATAACAAGTAAGTAAGGAAGTAAGTAAGTAAGTAAGTAAGTCAGAAAGTCAGTAAGTCAGTAAGTCAATAAGTAAACAAAGCAAGTAAGTAAGCAAGCAAGCAAAGTTGAATTATATTGTCCACCAACAAAGCATACCGCCACAAGGTTCATCACTTGGCGGTGTCCCAATCTCCAAAAATGAGTGTTGCACACCCGCCGCTCTCTAGCAAGCACACGTCTCTATTCGGTGAAGCCGTGATCACGCCCTCTTTTGCAGCATTCGCTGTCCTTCGCAACAAAAGTTTAAGCTCTTGTGTAAGCACGCGGGATCCCTATGCTGGCCCCAATGCTCCAAGATTGGTTGCTGGTCGTTCCTCGCTGCTGGGCCTCAGCGTTTTGCAACCTCCCTCCGATAATGGGCAATCAACAGCCCCATGTTCCCCAAACGTTGCAAGCAAACCCACTGAAATCTGGCAAGTTGGTAACAAAAAAAGGCGCAGAAACCACGTGGGCGCCTAGTTGCCCGAGCCTTTTTGCCGCTCGAATCGGGATCCAGGCGCCGGATACTCCAAGACCAAGCGCTGGTCCAGTTGGGCCGTGCGATCCACGCGGGGATCTTCGAAGCGAAGACCTGAAAGCGGGGTGCGATAGGTAGGGAATGACCGTGGTGTTGGGAATGAAGCATTCTGGGATTCCAGATTTCCGAACAAAGGAAACCACAGGCGATGGTCTTGCCTGGGGTCATTACACTTCTCACTCCCGAGGACCAGCAAGGAAGGGCAGCTGGCAGCTCGACATTCGGGGATGACCATGGTTTCCCTATGCAACTGTTGTGCCTGGCGTTCTTCGCCGGTTTTCGGCGTTTCCCCCCCCCCGGCGCCTGAACATCCCGGAGGAGTCTGAACGTAGTAGGTGCCGCTGATATTGGCGTAGTCGTGGGTGTGGAAGCCGTGGGTCGCTTCTTCCCCCATGACGTTCACCCAGCATTCCTCGCAAGGCAGACCCAAGGCAGCCCCAAGGCAGGCAAAACTACCTCCCGTTTTTGTCGCCTCCGTGTTTGTGTCAAAGCGCCCCGCTAGACAGTAGTGTGAAATCATCAGCAGAGTTTCTGCACAAGACAGTCCGCCATGTTGAGAAACAAGATCCAGGAAATCTGCAAAGACTCCAGATTCGCATTTAAGGGAATGTGTGGCATCCTGTCTCATACGTTGAAGGAAACAGAACAGTAAAGCGCCCATTGGAATGCGCCATGGCGACCTTTGGCACATGTCCACAATTGACGAGAGCCGCTGGCGATATCAGGCGAAGATGTGTGCTCCTCAAGCGACCTAGGAAATTGGGTTCGTGCTTCTTGAGTGACGCTTTGCAGGCTGGTCTCAAGCTTCAAGCAAAGACCAAAAGGAACATCGCCACTCTGTCCCCTTTTGGCCAATTGCCACGCCCGTCGCGAGCCCAGCGTCCGTCATGTGCAGCGACTCCAGTGGCGGCACGCCGGGCATGTTGCCCTCCTGACCAGCGATCTCAGATCTCACAGGGCCAAGGACCCAAAGCAGACAGGCCACTGGCCCTTCGCAGTTATGGCTCTGGGCAGTCCTGATGCCAGCTCCAAACAAACCTGTCCACTCTAGATCTATCCTGTTCCCTGAAAGAACCCACTCCAGACCAATTTCTCAATCCAAAATCCAAAGTCCAAATCCTCAGAAGCGGCAAGCTCGGCAGTTGCGCTTGCCGTCCGTCCCCGTCTCCTGCAAGAAGGCCCGGAGGTGGGCCTTCAGCATCCGCTTCAAGTCCGCCAGAGCCTTCCACTCCTTGTGGAGCTGCCGCGCGCTGCCGAAGGAGGTGAAGCCCCCTGGAACGCGTCCGCTTGCACGGCTGGAGCGAGGTGTTGTTTGTTTGGTGCCCTTTTGGTTTTCTTAATATTTTTTATTTTTTTTTTGGGGGGGGGGGGCGAGGAGTTGTTTTTGTTGCGGAGCACCCCCGTTGGTCTTTCCACCTCTTTCAATCCTTCCCATCCTTCCCCCCCCTCTTGTGAGTTTTACTTGGGAACCTCAGCGGCTGTGGGACACAAACTCTGCCGGATGAGGGGGCTGTCTCGCGGGCGCGCTCGGCGCTCGCTTGAAGGGCCGCGCCTGGGTAATTCTCCTGGCACCAGGCCCGGCCGGCCGCGTCGCGCTCACGGAGCCTCCGCCCATGGGCGCATGAGCAAGGGGTGGGGTTGGCCTCTTTCAGACTCAGAGGACGCGATGGTTTCTTTCCTCAGTTGTTTTCATCTGTTTCTCTGTCCTGAAACAGCGGACCTGCGTGTTCGCAAATGGCCGCATGGAGCAAAAAGAGAAGAGTCAGACTCAGATGACGGTAGACCCAACCAGAACCCACCACAGAAAATGCCCCCAAACAATTCTCACCCGAGTGAGCCTCGCCACTTTCGCGGAACTGGCATGGCTTTCAAGGCAACTTGGCTAACCCAAACGGATCTTGCGGACTTTGACCGTGCGTTGCTTCACCCTTTTCAGGTGGGCTGAAAGGGAAACCAAAAAGCAATCAATGCCCACCCATTTTGGGGGGGACCATACCCCCTACTCCAAATACCCCCTTGTTTCAGGGTATCATGTCGACCCTCTACCAAGAAAGGCGGTATTTACCATGGAAAACCCAGGCTAACCCCCCAAAAACACCCTGAAAGCCGCCGGGTATCTTGAGTAGGGGCTACGTGAACCTGGTATGTCCGGCTCCCTTCCAAGGCGCTGCGCAGTGGCCTCCAGCACCTCCTCGTTCAAGGCGGCCAGCGACGCCGCGTCGACGCTCAGCGCAGATCGGTAGATGGGCGTGGCGAAGTGCCGCGCCGTGCCCTTCCGGTGCTTCTCCTCTCAAGAGAGCGAGCGAGGCGAGAGAGCCAGAGAGCAGCTGAAAAAGAGCAGCTGCTTGGGAGATGTGGGGTGCATGGGATGCCTGGAGCTTCCTTGGAGTTCAAGGTACTTGGAACTCTCTTCGAACCGCGGGTATGTCAGGTGCTTTGTGCTCCCTTCGTCGGGCTTTATGGAAGGCATTAAGGAGATCTCCAGCAATCTAGCTACGCGTCTGCCATGCTGAGGCCTTGCCCCAAGAGTCACATCCATGACATTTCTTCATGAGTGCCATGCCCTAGCTGGTCTTCTGGCTTCTTGGCCATTTGCGCTCATCTTGGCCTGCAGATTATGCCACTTGTTGCCTGCTTCACCCATTTTATGTGACTTTTTTTTTGAGTTTCTGGCACGAACCGTTGCGGGCCAGGAAATGTTCTGCAGCATGCTGACGTTTCATTGCCGATGTGACTGCATGCTACAAGGGCCAATGGGGGGGCAAGCGGGTGAGGACAACGACTGACCAAATTTCGACCATTGACAACATGGGTGTGGTGAATCTTGCAAAATTGAGGAATCGAACGCAGGTCCAGCAGCACACAAACAACGCAGCCTTGCTGCCATGATGCGATTGGCCTGAAATGAGGGATCAACCAAAGGAAACCTTCGCTATGGGCACTTAGTGTCGCAGATTTCTCCGTCGCATTTTTTAGGGACCCATCGCAAGCTGGGGGCGCCCGTTCCGCGCTTGCCATTTGGCTGTGGGATGCGTTCGCGACTGTTTCGACTGCCCTGCCTCCACCTCCAGAACAGTGGCATACCGCTCCCGGGCCTCCTAGGCGACATGTTGCTTGGGAACCTGGAACGAAACCTGGACAAAGACAACCCAAAAGGTGAAACACCCAGCTTGTGTGGGCGAAGCTGCAACTGTTGCGAGGCGCAGACACGCAGACACGCCTAGGCATAACAGGGAGACAGCGAGACACAAAGACAGCGAGCCAGAGAAAATATGCAACACAAACACCTTTTTGCAAGGGAAGTTACCTTTGGCGGAGAAAAAAACCTGGAGACCTGCCCCCCCCCAAAAAAAAATAAAAAAAAATGAAATAGAATAAAATGGGGGGGGTGGGGTTCTGGGCCTCCCCCGCCTCGGGGGTCTCCAAGTGCTTCAGCTCCTCCAGGCTCCGCTCCAGCTGCGACTCCAAGTCCTCCAGGCCTGCCGGACGTCGGACGTCGGACGCCGGACGTCCGGACGTCCGGACGGAGGTCGAGACAGTCTCGAGGTCTCTGGTGCCAATTTTTGCGGCCAGTCTGAAGCCTTGACAAAGTGAAGAACAAGCAGACCGCGGGAAGAATCTGCTGTACAAGCAACGAAAAAAGGGTAACAAGATGGTGTACTTGACAATCTGCCTTCTTGTTGTGCGCTTGGTATCTTACTTATGTCCAATAGTCAAGTTCCAAAACGAAGAAACTGTGCACTGCACGGTGGCGAGATGTTTGGAAGCAGAATCAAGATATCCTCAAGGAAACCCAGCATCGCATGTGCGGCGAAGCTTCCCTCCAAGACCCATGGCCTTCCAGGTCCTCCAAGCCCTCCAAGCCCTCCAAGCCCTCAAGACTGGACCGTGACAACCGCCCCAGCCGGCGAGGCAACCTGGCCAATGGACGTGTCAGTGATTCTCCCCTCACCCACATCAGAAGGACCCTTTTCCAGAGGAAACCATAGACAAGAAGTTGCTGATGTTGCGCTTGAGTTGTTTTGGATTGGTGTTGCGGAACCTATGCATCATGAGTGTGAGGTGCGGGTGCGATGGTAGGGTTGCGCGTCTGAGGTGTGGGTGCGTGCTGCTGGCTGGGACGGGGTACAGGTGCGATGGGTTGCATGTTTGATGAGTAGCTCATCCGTGGCACTTGTTGCAAAGAGCTGTCTTGTAATGTTGACCCCAGATTAATCAAGCCCCGTTTATTGATATGGGGTGTCCCTGGTTTTTGTGGGGATTTATCACTTTTGGAGGGAACACCCCCACATGAATAAACTGGGGTTTATTCATCCGGGGTCAACATTATGCGACAGTCTTTCACACAGTCGGAGCTCATCCATGGCCCCCGTGCCAGTTTTCGGACTTGCGTGTTGATGGCTTGATTCCACGACCCGCAGGATTGGGCGAGAATGGCGAGTCTTCACGGCAGGCGAAGAAGGTCTCGCGCTGACAATACAGATTTCGTGGCGGGCGCAGCAATGTTGAGAAACACGTGCTGCGGAATTCGCGGCAGACGCTGCATGTCATGAATTTGAAAGTCTCGTCCAGGTGAAAGCGAACCCTCGGACTTTGCGCTGCGGGCTTGCGCCGCGGACTTTGCGCTCGTGGAACCACTGTGGTTCCAGAAGATCATCGCTGCAAGCTCAAGCTCCGCAAAGTGAACCTTCACAGTTCGAGCGCAAAAGAATAAATTTGGGGGGGTGTCTTGCCAGGATAACTTGTCTACCGCTCACGCTTGGGGAGTTGGCACAACCTGTGGCGCACAACCTGTGTCAGCAATGCATTCTACGAGACTCTAGAGTCTCAGAGGCACACGCAGCCTGCAGATACTCGGCAACAACAGCTACTACGACGATGACGAGTTGATGCTGCGCTGGAACAGGATGCCGACACTCGATGACCTCAACGAGTTGATCATTGATCCACAATTGCTGAGCTACCGGGGTCGACATGTAAATCCGCGGGCAATAAAGAAAAGCCATTCTGCCCATGACTCATGTCTGGCAAGGCTGTCCCTCCAATTTCCCGTTTTTGTAGCAGAAAGGCCTAGGTCTATTTTGGACAAATGCATTTTTTGTGGGTACCCCTTTTTGTTGGCCTGGGTTTCAAGACAGGACAAAGGACAACCCACCCTTTTGGTTGGGGGTACCCCCTGTTTTGAGCAATCCTTTTTGCGCCTGGCCCAGCCGCACCAAGTTTGCAGCGCCGGCAGCCCGGCCAGCAATACGAGCAGCCGCCGTGCGGATCGGGTCATGGCTGCCCAAAGCCTTTGAAATTTGTTATGAACTGGTGTTGGGTTGTGATTGGGTTGGTTTTGGGGCTGGTCGGGGGTGGGTTACTGTTGGTGTTGGATTGGATGTGGGTTGTGGGTTGGTCTAGGTTGGCTTTGAGGTGAACAAGTGCAGGCGGGTTGCAATGAGTTTAAGTGGCGAGACTTGGTGCCTGTCCTGCACAGAGCCAGGGCCATAGCTCTGTGCTTTGCTGGTTAAAACAATCACTTCCTTGCAGGTTTCCTCATCATCGCCGAACGACCTATGTCGACCCTTGACTCACGGGATATGGCAAGGCTGTTCGCCACTCCGCGCACCGTAGTCTGAGGCTTTGGCCAAGGACCGAGCGGGCAAAGAGGCGCGGAATGGCGAGTGATCTCACCAGCTTCCTGCTTCCACCAAATAAGTTTAGGACCCCGGTCCCTATGCAGCATGGTAAACAAAAAGGAGGAAGTCGCGGTTTCTTTTTCTGTCAGATTCCCAAAACATCAAAGCACCCTCCAGGCACCAAACACAGGAAGGTGCTGTGAAATGCTGCCTTTCCCACTTCCGCCTTGGCCCCCTCCACGTGTCTCTAGAATGTCTTCTCCACCTCTTCCAAGTGGGACTAAGTTGCTAGATGGATAAGCCAACTCGAGCATAGTGACTGGAATGTGGCAAGGGGTCATCCTGTCTGCGGGAAGAACATTCCTGAGGCAACCTCAGGGCTTCCAGCTGGCAAGCAAGGTTGTTAGTCCAGATTGACAGCAGATTGAGCCGCCACCAGGGATACTCCAAGTGATTTGGGGAACTCATTAGGGGGATGGGAACAAGACCTCCGAGAGCCAATGCGTGCTCATCGTGGCCAGCGGCATTGAGCAGTTGCCATGACACTGCTCTGGGAAACCCGAGCTCCCGACCATCGCACATGGCCACAGAAGTGTGGAAAGAAGCACCAGAAGCAAACAGAGCGGTGTGGTTTCACAGATGAGGTCGGCACAAGGAACAAAGCATGCACGGCTTACCGATGAAGCAAGAGATGCTTCGGGCGCCAATCATGTCGCGGCTTGGGACTCTGATCTCAACCTCAAAGCCCTGGTCCCCCCGTCTGGAGCCCAGTGCCATCGGCTCAAGTCAGCCAGACAACTCGCCGCCCGAAAAACCGGGATGGCTGAGGGAGCCCTCAAGATTGCCGTCGTTGCAACTCCGTCCAATGGCTTCCAGCGACGAAAAGTTGGAAGAGTCTTCAAGCTTCAACTGGTCTTGGTCTGGCTGGGGCCTTGAGTTGCTCAATTCCTGAAGGATTGCCTCTGACAGTAGACCAATGCAACATCTTCTCGTTGGAAGGCAGGCAAGACGATGCCAACAGTGCGGCCAAACCGCCGGGAGTCTGCTAAATCTCTCTTGCGTGACTTGTCGGGCAGTGCGGAACAGTGGCGAAAAGACATTCAATACATAGGTGGGAACAAAAATACGGTCCATTCAGAGCTATGATGCAGCGGTTGCTGACATTGCTGCTTTCATGCCTGCGTCCCCATTGAATCATGCCGGAATTGCAAAAAGCAAAACATGAGCGTTGGTCGGACAAGCTGCTGCATCAATACCACTCCAATCAACATAGACCATGTGCACCTACAGAAAACTGGTCAGCAAATCCTAAGTTTTCCGGAAAGGTCTACTTGTGGATCACTCATTCTGCCAGGCTCTTTGAGGTTCTGTGCAGAAGCCGGCCGAGCCAAAGGTACTTAAGGTACTTCCCCCAGACAGCATCCCAAATTCCTGGACTTTCATGGTTCACAAAAGAGCCATCCTCACGACTGGTCTTGCCTTCCTGGCCTTGCCCACTCAGGGCGGAGGACATGTCGACGCAGCGGGCAACACGGGCGACACCCGGCGATGCGGCGATGCAGCGACCGTCGTTCGATTTTCCGCGTTACCAAGCGAAGCGCGGCAGCGCCGCCTGCGGCACCGGCACCTGCACCACCGGTTTTTCATGGGCCGCAAGAACTGAATCTAAAGGTCAGCCATCTTACTTATCATCTTGGATGAATCTTTGGTCAAGCTTTTGGCTGCCCTTTTCTTCTAAGATCCACCAAAAGCATGCCCCGAAGCATCCGCAAAGCTGAGGAAACGCGGCCGGAAGGTGGAACTTTCTGACCAAAAAAAACGGGGAAACGTTCCAGTATTGGTTGTTTCGGAAAATACCCTCCCTCGCACTGACATGACACCTGACGGGGGGTCCTTTCGAAAGGAAATTGATCTTCCGGCTTCTCTCCGACAGGTGCTTCCTTTCTTTTCTGTCTCTGCCAACCTTGGATAGATAAGTGCGCCCCTGCTGCATCAGACAACTTCCATAAGGCTGGGCCTGAGGCCGCCTGATCTTTGACTCCAGCCGCAATTCCTTCTGAGACAATGGATGCTGCTACGCCTAAAATGTCAATGAATAAGGCCCTTTCTGGATACCAAGAATCTGAACTCAACATAGTTTACCCCCATGATCAAAGCTTCTCTCGATGAACGCATCAAGCCTAAATGTAGCCAGCTGAGTTGACCATGGCATCCCAACACATCACTTGAACCTCTCATTTTGATCGCTCGCTCTTTCCGAGAATTGGGCCTTGTGGCTGATGCACAGGTCGCGGATACGATCCTGCCAAAGGACCGCAGGCCAGTTCGGGGCCAGTTAAGAGCTTCCAATCCAAGGATTCCAATGCCGACACAGCCAGGAAGCATCTATCATGAAGTCGGCCCCCTGAGCGCCGCCCAAAGCACAGTCGCCACTCGTCTGGACACTGCACCCCTGCTAGGTGTTTTGGTGCCTTCGGCTATGCACGTTGGGCCCTTCTTCTGCGGAAGCCCTGCACATGTGGCTTGTCTCATTGGGGATTCCTCTATGAGAGTTTCCATTGAGTCACACTCAAGAACCTGGTACAAAAATGGTGAATGCGGAACCATGTAAAGAATTAGAAAGGCGGCCGCAACTGATCCGGCCGGGACTCCCCCTTACTAACCTTCATCTACCCGCGTTTTCATTGTGGCTCATTTGGATTCTCTGCAAAAGGTCTTGGGGCGCAGCAAAGACGTCCAGCCAGCCCGCGTCCTTGCTCATGTCCGCCCATTCACCCTGCAGATCGCTGCTGTGGATGCCTCCGGCGCAAGATTTGTTTCCATGCGACGTCACCAGAGGTCATGGCTGTTTCTGGGTTTCGAACGCAGTGGTCCTCCCCTCATTTCTGACTCACTTGCTTGCTGCTGTCCAACCCCAACCCGGCTTGCCACCGCAAGTTGGTGTGCGCGGCGTGCCAGCCAAGCAGCTAAGCCCAGCGCGAGCAGGCCCAAGGGAAAATGTTCCATTTGTTTAACTGCCAAAGGGAAAAGGTTCCATTGGTTTGACTGATGCACCAAAGTGGGCAACGACTCCTGTGCCAAGGGGTCACCCCCTTTCCTTGTTTGGGGTGCCGGCAAAAACGACTCCAAAGTGGTGGTCGACCCCGCCTGTTTGCGCCACGAAGGCCGCGTCGAAACCCACCTGGACAGGGATCTGGAGGAAGCTGGGCCCATTTGAATCAGACCTCCCCCAACGGGGGAGGGAGGGGCGAGTGGGGGGGGGGGGGGGGTTGAGGGGTTTCCACAATTTCCGAAGCCCTCCAAATGCCACCACTGCAAGGACCTGCGGGTGGACTGGCCGAAAAAGTCTCTCCAGGCCCGCGTGACAAGCTGGAACTCTTCGCGATCAAATCCCGCATCACGCTTGAATGCCAGTATCTTCCGTGAACCACATAGCAAACACGCCCTGAGATCGAGAAAACATTATGCTCATGACTGCCCTCTCTTCTTTTTGCCTCTGATTTTCTCTTGCCCTATGTATTAAACAAAAAGGAACACTTTCTTGATTGAACTGAATTGTCCGCAGCTCACTCACGAGAACTCCAACCGTTGTCAAAAACGTATGAGGTCTACTAAACGTCATAGGCAAGTCGTGTCGGCTGGCGCGAAGCCTCGATCAGCCGAGTTGCTTGCCTCCTTCCAAAAGTTAACGAAAGGACGTCCCAGAAGGATAAACCCTCATTCAGGATTCCCTTGGTGGAAACCACGTCAGCTGACCCCGGTGCGAAGGCCGAACATCCTCAGACATAAAACCCTCAAGGGCATCAAGGCGCTCGCCTCTGAGAGACCACTACTTTTTGCCAGTCTTTTCGATAGTCCTAAACCAGCCGCTAGGATGGAAATCCGAAAACGCCTCTGAAGCGTGACCCTTCCGGCCCCGGGCCCTGAGGCCCGGACCGACATGGCGCCCTGCACGTCGTATTGCAGCGAGTCCCCCACGTGGCAGATCCGGAAGCCCTCGGATCATGCGTCGATCGCGGCCGACGTGGCGGGGGCGCGTTTTTGATTAGCAGGAGGTAGCTGTGACCATCCCCCTCCCCACAAAAGATGTCGGCTGGCAGGGGCAATGTGCTGCGACTTCAGGCAAACAACTTAGGCTGGAGCAGCGCCGGCAGCGCTTTTTGGGGGGGAAACATGCATATCGTGGTGAAAATGAACAGCTCTGCAGTTCATCAACATCATGGACAAATGACACCTCTGCTACAAACAAAATAGAAGCAAGCATAGCTAAACTTGATTGCCATGCCAAGAGCACGCCAACTGTTTCGGAACAAAAAACACTAGCTGTACAAAAGCATCTACTTCTGGAAACTCTTCAGCTGTGGTCTCACCTTCCGGGGATTGGAGCCCATCGTGAGGCGCTACGGATGCTAAGGGTCCTTTGGGGGTGGTTGTCTGGGAAGCCAAAGGCTTTGGGCCATGGTTGGGGCCCGGTTTCTGACCCGAGAGGCCTGCGACGCCACTTTCCACCACCCCCCTCGTCTACCCCGGACCTCCAACTTTTCCGAGGCCTCTCCAAAACAACTTCAACAGCTTCAATGAAATCATAGCCAGCCGCCGCAAATGTCAAATCGAAGGAGGCCTTTGAATGAATCGCAAACAGTAAAACCTAAGCGCCGACCCCGACCCTTTCCGCATTTCCAGCGAAGGTGAAAGCCAGTCTTGCGGTCCAGCCTGCAACTTGAAACCTTTGAATCTGAAAATAGTACCGCTTTGGCTGAATCTCCAAAGGTTCGCTTCTTAGCCCTGCGCATCAGTCCACATCCCCCCGAGTGTTTCGTTTTCAATGCAAGCGCTGCGCAGGTGCAATGCAGAGCCATGCGGCGCAATGCAGTGTAGAGCACTCAACGAAACGCAAGTAGTGCATTGGAACACGAACCTTTCGGTAGGATTGTCTTGAACAAATCTTGTCTACATTCCTTTGCTGGAAACCACGATGTTCATGGGTTTTTGTGCCTGGCATGGGTTGGACAAGGACTGGAGGGGGCCCATTTGCCCCACGGAAAATCCATCCTGAGCGAATGATATGTAATGAGAGGCCTGGGGTGGAATTAGACGTGACAAGCAGCAGCTCAGCCACGCAAACAATGCAACGAATGGATGTCAAAAGCTACCAAAAAGGAATTGGCAAACCACATGGGGAATCAACAACAGATGTTGGCCATTTATCCTCCCCTTTTTGAGCACAAGATGGCATCAGCATCTCAGAAGGGGCCTCTATGTTTATCTGCCCAACCCCCTCGCCCCCGCACATTCCCAAAAGATTCCTGGTTTGTTCATCCCCGAGGCATTGTTGAACCCGCAAACCCAGAGATAAAAGTAAAGGGATCACATAAACAACAAAAAAACAGGGTCCCCCCACGTGGTTACATCCCCACATGATACATGAGGTCCGTGAAAAGCCCGTGTCAGGGCAATCGGCCCCGACACGAAAACGCCCAAGGTTGTGGTTGGGACCATGCCCCCAAGGTGTTCTAATTTTCCTGGGCTCACAGACCCCAAAAGGTGATTATCAAAACTGCCCCGGAATTCCGCACAGGGCTCAAACCCTTCGGAGGGGGCAGGGAACACCCGTGAGCAGAGTCTCAATTTGGGATTCATGGAACACCCTGTGGACATCAAGCTGGGGATTCATGCCAGTTGCAGCGTGCGTGCCTTCCCATTGTCACTAGTGGCTCTTGACTAACAATATCTACCGTCAGCTGCTTGACAGGCCACTTTTGAGATATGGCTGTGGGTCAAAACCAATGGTACCATTTTGGGGTGCTGAATTCACCACCCATTCTAGAACCTATTCTAGTGGGGATTGGGATGTTCACTGGGGGCACGATTTGGATTTTGACCCATGGCCATATCTATGTGGTATGTGCCAAAATAAGGGGTCCCCTCCAAAATGGGTGGGTGGGTGGGTGAAAACTCCTCGCCATCTCTTCGATGTCACGTGGTGCCCCCCCGCCTCGTCCAGCTCCAGCTCCAGCGCCTCCTCCTCGTCCTGCGCCGCCGCGCGGCACAGCAGGCGCCGGGCCTCCCACAGAAAACGCGCGCGGCGCCGAAGAAAACCCAAAGTTCAAAGAGAAGATATAGGAAAGCTAAATCAAACCAGAGGCCACTGGAAACCATGGCGAGTTAACTCAAAAACCACATGAGGGTTGATCATAATCTCCTTCACAAGGGATGAGATATCCACAAAACACGAGGGATGGTAGGGATGCTCGGGGGTTTGTTGGGGCACATCAAACAGAGTCAAACCCGTCACAGGATCTAGGGGTTGATCAAAAGGTCCGCGATACATGGGATGACCATGGCTAAAACTACGAAAAGGATGTGATATTTCCCACATGTTGGGGGCCAGGATTATTGATCAACCCCCCATATCCACAAAACACTTTGGATGGTAAGGGCTTTGGTCCCCACATGAGGATTGGGTTGGGACCATGCCCCAATGAACCTCTTCTGGGGGTTACCTTCATCTGCTACTATAATTCACCTACCACAATCTATAGACCCCTAAGAGAGCTTCATCATAAAGCTCGAATTTTCCTGGGTGAGCTCAGCTTCCTGCAAATCTGATGGGATCCTCCCGCTCACCCAGCAAATCATGAAAATTGGGAAATCGCATCGCTGGAATGGTTTCGCCAAACACCTCACGGGCGAGCAAGGCTCGCAGGGTTCATGTCCCCCCTCAGCCTTCCCCCGGCTCACCTCTTGTTGAAGGCCATGGTAACCCTGCCTGGTGGTGATTCGCTTTCTGGACCTAGTCTTTCCGTCCGAGAAAGCATCCCCAGCATCAAGCTGGCAACTACTCGGCTTGGTTCAGCTGGGCTTGGGCTGGGTTAGGGCTACGGGAGAGTACGGGGCCATCTACTTGGCGCTTCTCATTTTCTTCAGGATGGTTTTAACAGCGCTTCGCTGACATCAAAGGATGGTCTACCCAAACACGTGGACCTTAACGTGGACCTTAAAAAGGGCTCCGAAGCCGCGCCCAAAACCCGAGGCTCGGAAGCCTCGCGCAGTTCGGGGCTCGCCCGCAGGCCCCGCCCGCTTCCGGCCCTGGCCTCCTCGAAGGCCGAGCTGTGGGGCTTGCCGAAGTACATCACCTGAGGGATCCAGGGCCGTCCCGAGCCCTGGCCCCTTGAACCGCGCACCGCGCGAACCCGTCCGACTCGGGCCAAAGCTAGGTGGGCGGAAGGAGAGGGAAGGGAGGGAAGGGAGGGAGGGAAGGGAGGAAAGGAGGGAGAATAAAAGAGACAGGGAGGGGGGCAATTTAAGAGCTTTGCACATGACTTGAAGCAATATGGCCTTTACAAGAATCGACTACTTATATCAAATACTCACGGCCTTGGAATCAACTCAGATCATCGCAGCATGCAGTCCAGAGAATGCCAGGCTCCGAACCTGCCCTCCGAGGCGCTCGTAGTACCTCAGCCACCGTTCATGGCGAAGCTGGTGAAGCACTACGCACCAGTCACTGGCATTTTTTCTCCTAGGCAATGAAGGACGCTCAGAAAACAGCATCATGGGTATGCAAGGGTCAGAATGTGGACAGAGTATAGGCCCCTGCAAGCAATCACGACAGCGACGAGGAGAGAAATGATGACAACAACGACCACAAAGCCAACCAAGAACGCCATCAGAAAGCGAGACACGCTTTTAACCGCGAAAGCGCATTGAGCCCTTAACCCCGAAATGATGTTTAGGCTTAACCCCGTAACACGAATTTTCGGGCCTAACCACGGAAGCTTTGCAAGCCTAACCCCGAAAAGATGACCCCGAAACAGATAACCACGAAACGGACAGGGCCCCTCCCGTAGTCTTCTTTCCTCTTCCCGTAGTCTTCCGTCCTCTGCCCGTAGCCTTCCGTCCTCTTCCCGCGGTCTCCCGGTTTCTTCCCGCGGTCTCCCGGTTTCTTCCCGCAGTCTTCCGGCACCAAACGACAGCGGGAGGCCTTCAAAACCCAAGCTTGAATCTGCGCGGCCCCCCGAAGAGGAAGCGCAAGAGCAGCCAGACGCGCAGATTCGAGCTTTAAGCTTTTTGGTGATGCCGTTTCGGCTCTCCGAGCCGGCGCCGACAACCGGAGCCTTCCCGTAGCCTTCCGTCCTCTTCCTGTAGCCTTCCGTCCTCTTCCCGTAAGGAGAAGGAGTAAAGAAGGAGAATAGGAGCATATACAAAAGGAAGAAGGAGTATTTCGTCCATTTGGGACGGTGTCGTGAAGAAACCCTAATTTCGTTTTCCGGGGTTTAGAGCGCATGGTTTGGATTAACCCTTTCGGGGTTAGAAGTTTCAACTTTCGGGGTTAGAAGTTTCTGCCTTTCGGGGTTAGGAGATTGT